AATTAACAGCATCAATATTGGGAGAATGGAAACCAACAGCAATATTCACATTTAGCAATCAATTGATTGACAATTCAATAATATCTTGGAATATGATCAGCGAAAGTCATATACGATCGTATTTCAATAGTTTCAAAGTCATTCACTACAGGATACTTATGTAATTGGTTGGCTCCCATACGACAAAGCTCTGGCCACAGATCTTTAGCATAGGAAGGCGACTTTATGTTGGCCTACCTTATGGCAAAATGATTACAAGTTTTTTTTTGATAAACTTTATCAACATTTAAAAACAAGAAATATTCTTATAAACATCAAAATATACAATAGAGTGGAAATGCTTTCATTCCAGTTTTGTTTCGTTTCGTTTAGTATAGATTCCAATTGTGGAATTAAAACCATTCAAAATAGCAATATTTTTGTGTGTGTTTTCAATTCCATTCAACTCCAAATCCATTCTTAAATTTAATTCTGCACCACATATTGTGAATTTTCAAAAATAATCATGTTCAACATTGCCATAGAAAATAATTCCACAATACTAAATATTGTAAGTACTCCAATCTGAATTTGAATTCAAATTTATAATTTAATGCATGAGTTATTTTTAAAGCTGTCTGGCAGCACAGCAATGATTTGACAATGCGTTAGAGCATTTTCAAAATGTGGGTTTTTTGGGTTGACCTTTATAGTTGCTATTTTGCAATCAATTCTAGTCAATTAAAAAAAGCCAATTAATTAAAAGCCATTAAAATCAACCAATCTTGTGGGCAGTTGAATGATTACTCGAGGAAAAATACATTTTTAAAGCTGAGAGTCCTAGCCAACTGGTAATATTAAACAGAAGATCAAAGTCGAGCAAAACTATTTAAGATTTACGGAATATTTACAGTATATTTTGAAAATGAAAGGTATATTTCCGATGGTATGTCGGTATATGTTATCAATAGTTCCGCGGTTATACTGATTGCGGTATATTGTAGTAAAAGAGAATCCACAAAAAATTACAAATCATAAGAATATACCAACATGAATGCCCTCATCGAAAACCATCGATAGTCAAGAAAAGTCGACAGCCCCATCATCGAACTGAAGTATCGCTGCAGCGATTAAATACCAAAAAAAAAAGAAATTACACCTGCGAAACGTAAATATTCGCTAGATTTGTGAAATTAACAACAACAACAACAAAATCTCTGACTGACGGCATTGCGTATTTCCACTTGCGCTTCTTCAGCGAACAGAACAGGGCCACAGCAGAAAAAGCAGCAGCGATAAAAACAGAAATAGAAATGTCTACGAGGGGTACACGTAAAGTGCAGCGAAATCTGTGGGCGTCGCTCCTGGCGCTCCTGGTGATCCTGTACTGGGCAGATCCCTCGGGCGGCTACTTTGCAGCACTCGATGAGACGGAAACGAACAAAAACTGCTTCTGCGAGGTAAGTTGCAGGTCGCAGCCGCGTCACTCAGGAATTAAACTTTCTCATTTCCCCCACACACACACACGCACTCACTCACAGCTGGAGGGCTCCATCAACGATTGCAGCTGCGATGTAGACACTGTGGATCACTTCAACAACATGAAGATCTTTCCACGCCTACAGTCGCTGCTCGTGAAGAACTTCTTTCGATTCTACAAGGTTAACCTCAGGCAGGAGTGCCCCTTCTGGCCGGACGACAGTCGCTGTGCCATGCGCTTCTGTCAGGTGGAGAACTGCGAGGAGCAGGCCATACCCCAGGGCATCAAGGATAAGGGAGAACATAAGGAGAGAGCTGCCGCATTCAAGGTGAGTGATCGAGAGACAGACAGAGACAGCGTGCACCGGAATTCCCCCTATCAATGTACGAGGCTTATCAGAGGGCGTTAATTGTTTTCGTTCCATTCGTTGGAGTTGGAGTACGTGCGGCACTCCCCCATCCCCTACTATCTGCAGTGCTCAATGGGTTGGGTTGGCAAGTGATTTATTCACATTCCATAATGCCCATAATCTCCCATTGTCTGTGGGGCGTAAATCTTTGCGCGTAATGATGTGGTGATATTTTGGTGGCATTGCTGACGTGGGCTTGCCCATTCATCCGGCCCCCTTTTGATTACAGCTCAATCTTGTTTGCTTTTGCGCTCTACCCTCACGACTGACTTACAATCGAAGGTGGATCTGGGGCTGGTTCTGGTTCTGCTGCTGTTTGCACAGTTGCCAAATGTTTTACCTGTTGACTGACTTCCTCATCATTGATTGATTATTTTCTTTGTTATTTTTCTTTGTTTTCTTAGTATACACGCGAGGCACAGTCAACGAGTGGGTGCTCAGATGCCGAGGACTTTGACAGTGCTCTGGGTTTCCTGGACACAAGCATCAGCGATCAGGCGCATCGGGAGTTCGAGCTGTGGGCGAAGCATGACGAGGCTGAGGAGGATTTCTGCATAGTCGATGACCACGAGGAGGGCTCTCAGTATGTCGACCTGCTGCTCAATCCGGAACGGTATACCGGCTACCGGGGAGAGTCTGCCCATCGCATCTGGAAGAGCATCTACCTGGAGAATTGCTTTGGAGGCAACAACGAGACAGCGAACAAATTCTCCAGCTATGTCCAGCACCTGGATCTGCGGAATGTGTGCCTGGAACAGCGCGCCTTCTACCGCATAATCTCGGGTCTGCACTCCAGCATCAACATTCACCTGTGCTCCAAGTATCTGCTCTCTGAGTCGAAGGATTTCCTGGATCCACAGGGCGTTTGGGGGCCCAATGCACAGGAGTTTAAGCGCCGCTTCAGCCCAGAGACAACAAGCGGTGAGGGTCCACACTGGCTGCGCAATCTGTATTTCATTTATCTGGTGGAGCTGCGGGCTCTGGCCAAGGCAGCGCCCTATCTGCGTCGCGAGGATTACTACACAGGCATCGCGGAGGAGGATGAGGAGGTGAAGCTGGCCATTAATGATCTACTCAGCGTCATAGAGTGAATAACCAAAGAAATTTCCCGCGCTCTGCAAGATTTACTAATCGAAACTCTGTTTTCCCGCGCAGATCCTTCCAGTCGCACTTCGATGAGAATGCTCTGTTTAGCAGCGGCATCGCATCGATCAAATTCAAGAGCGACTACAAGGAAAAGTTCCGCAACATATCCAGAATTATGAGCTGCGTGGGTTGCGACAAGTGCAAGCTGTGGGGCAAGCTGCAGACCCAGGGACTGGGCACGGCCCTCAAGATTCTCTACTCGGAGAAGCTCAATCTGGCCACAGAGAGTGGTCTGTGGGACAAGCCGCACATCGAGGCGGATCCCATATTTAGGCTATCGCGTCCGGAGATTGTTGCTCTCTTCAATGCATTCGGCAGGTGCGTACAAAATTTGGCAAACCAATCCCAGATCCATTAAAGATAATGCTAATGTGTTCATCTTTGCTTTGCAGATTATCAAACAGTATATACGAGATGGAGAACTTCCGACGTGTGCTGAGATAACCCGGCAATGAGGAGCCTTCGAGGCGGCATGAATCCCATTCAGTTCCCCGAAGTAGTTCGGCCGAGATGCCGGCCGACGATCTAGCTAATTTAAACGCACATATTTGGGGCTGTATTTTGTGGATCTTGGTTACGGTGTTCTCTCCCCACACCCATTAGCAGAGGCTAGCGCTGCAATTCTTGTAAATAATAATCATGACCCCCTATTAGGCTACGTGTACTTTAAAGCCCTTCACCCCACCCAATCGAACAGATAGACGAAGGAGGAGAGAGACAGGTGTTTAGAATAAGTTAGAATATTTTATTTATTGTATCAGGAAGGGAGCTTATCGATAAGGAGACTCAAACAGAAGCGCATTGTGCAATAACTCGAACGCAAAAACACACACGAAATAAATGTGAGAAAGACGATGTTCACCCCACACACCCGGGCACTTGTTTAACGTGGGACACGTCACCAGGGAGCTGGGTCATAGCAACCGACTTGTTTACCTTCCAACAACTGTCATCTTTGCTGTCATTTATCCAACATATATACTTGTGACATCGGGCAAGAAGCCGGTTGTACTTTATTCGAAAATTTATATTTAATCTGTGAAAAATGGTTGTCTTACAAGTCAAACGCGGCGATGAGACGCTCTTTCTGTATGAGACAAGCGTGGGCGAGAAGTCCGACTTGGTTATTCGTGATCTGGTGGCCATTCACAATGGCCAGCTAAAGGTGCAGCGCATTTGCATGGAGATTGAGGAGTTGGCCGAGCATGGAACCATGCTGCCCTCCGAAATGATTGGCCTCAATGACGATCAGATTGAGGAGCTCAAGCTAAAGGATATTTGGGCAGACAAATGCATCCCATCGGGTGGCTTCACCTTCAACAAAGATCCCTTGCTACGCCGCAACGGACAGCAGCCCAACGAGGCCATGGGCAAGGTGCTGGCCAATACCATAACCGAAGCCAAGGCCATGATAGATAAGGTAACATCCAACAATACCATTTTCCCATGCGATATAGCAGCGATCTGTTGCCCCCACAGAAACTGGCCAAGTCTTCGAAGACTCTGTCCCTGAAGGTGGTACAGGAGGCCATCAATCTGCTGCGTGGTGCCGTGACCATTGTGTACCCCATGCAGCTACCGCCGCACGACACCATACGCATGGAGTTCACCAATACCGAGGATCTGAGTGGCACTCAAGCCTCCAAGGAGGTCATTGAGCCATCCAAGGCTCAGCTCTGGTTCGCTGGTCGTCAGATTTTAATGGGCAAACTGCTCAAAGATTACTTGGGCAACAATGACAAGACCAAGGTGAGTTGTAGCATGATACATTGATCCATGATCTGCAGCAATCTACTTGCCAGGTGGTGGTCAAGCTTAATCAGTTGGGCGAGGGTCCGCCGGGACGCGAGGCTGTCATTTCCGAGCAGATGCGTCGCCAGATGATGGCTGATTCCTTCCGCCGCCAGGAGGAGCTCAAGGTAAGAGTTGTTGACATTTGTAGAGAGGATTTAAATTGCTTTTTATTTGCTATATATATAATAGGTATATGTATCTACGAGTTTAGTTACTTCCCAGTGTGTATAGGCAATCAAAAAAGATCGAAACTAGTTTAACGAAAAGTCTAGAGAAGATTTTCCTTCTTGGTCTGTTCTGGCTTTGTCATAAAGTAAACACAGCTCCGCTCGCAAGAGGGAGCTACTATTTCTACTGTTCATGTTCCTAGTTCCTAGTTCCGAGTGTCTAGTTCGAGTTCCTAGTTCCTTTTTTGGTACTTCAGCTGATGTTGGGTTTGGTGGGTAAATGTAAATTCCATTTGGTGTCTTTTAAATGCAACTCTTAAGGCACCAGAACCAACTGCGAGCTTTGGGATTGCAGTGGGGGTTTTTCTCAGTGTGTTGTGTTGTGGGGGAGTTGTCAGGTAAATAAAGCTCTTGTTCCTTCGATCGGTTCGCGGTTCTATGTAGTATAAGTACAAGTACATTGTGTGCGTTTCCACTATAATATATACATATGTATGTATCTATATGTATTCATGAAAAGCCAAGGTTCTATTCTGTTTAGGATTTCCTATAAACGTTGTATAAATGCCCCGAATAGAATCTAATCGAATCTTCAGTTCCCACATAAAGTTTTGGTGCTGTTTTATATACGGATCCAAGCATGGACCCAGTTCTCATCGAGTTCTCCCATTAGAGGATAACCAGCGGCTTCTCGGGCACATCGCACTTGGCCGCCTTCTCTTGGTCCTCGTCAAAGTGCTGCTCACTCGTGTTGGAGTCCCCAGTGGGACTCAGGGGTATCAGGGACTTGGTGCTGCCAATCATTTCGTGGCTGTCGAGCGGTAGACCAACAATATCTTCCAGCTCCTGGCCACCCACTGCCTGGTGCTCCAAGTCCACCACATCGTCATCTGTGTCGTACATTTGTTCGGGTTGCTTGCCCGCTGGCCCCGCTCCGAATACATCATCTTCCGACTCATCGCCGGCACAGACGCAGCGCATTTTGGCATCGTCGCCCACCTAAAGGAGAGCTCATTGAGGGGGGAATATTCTTGCAGAGCTTTGAACTACTCACCTTGACGGACTTTGTGATGATGCAGAGGGAAATGGAGGAGATCACAAACAGCACAATGGGAACAATCAGCGAGACCACTAGCTCCCTGTACACCTTATCCAGATCGTAGCGTGCCACCACAAACTCCACATTCGCATCCTGCAATTAGGAAACCAAACCCTTGAGTATCAGCTTACACAGCATGTAGGGGGCAGGAAGGCAGAGCACCCACCTTGTTGTAATAACACTGATAGCGTGACTGGGCGGTGTTGTTGTCCCCATCGTTGCCATAGCGAGCCACAAAGTCCTTGCACTCGCCCCGCAGCGTATTGACGCAGCCCTCGAGGTTGATGTACAGTTTCTTCCAGTTGTAAATGGTGAGATTTGCCTGATTTGGCAGATATCGCTGGTGCTCGGGATCCACGGCTCTTGTGCTGTTCTCATAGATGGCCCAGAACTGCGTAAAGTTCATGAAGGGAGCTGGCAGCGTATCGTGCGCTAGCAGAGTGCCATTCAGGCAATCCGTGGCACTGTCAATACGAAAGGAATTAGCTTTAGTTTTATTTTATATTGTCGCAAAAACTCACGTGATGCGATTGTCGGACTCGCGAGTGACTGTGGCGCAGTTGGTCAACAGGTTGCCATCGTCCTCTTTCCAAATTTCCACCGGATCGATGCGTACACCGTGCTCGGAGCCACGTGCCTGATTAAAGGCCACGGCATTCTCGCAATCCGCTGCAATGACATTATCCTCCTAAAGGGAAAGGCAAGCATTGAGAATTTGATATAATCTTATATAGATGACACACTCACATGCATGATCAACGTGTTGACATTGGCTGTGGTTATCTTGGAGCAGTACCGATCACAGTCGAAGGGCTTCTTGATCTTTGTGCAGTGTACGCCATGGCATTCGAAGAAACCATTCAGCTTGGTGTTGTCCTTGGCAGAGTTTATCGTTGGTCCATCCGCCTTGTGATGGCACAAAAAGAACTCCGACATGTTCTTGCAGTGACCTAAGAAAATGAGGAGATAATTAGAAGTGTCTAGAGATTTTATTTGTGTTTGAGTCAGCTTGCCATTAGAACAGTTGAACACTCCGCGTATGTTGTTGCAGGCGGTGCCATTGTTGCAGTTGAATTTGTTCAGGCGACTCATGTCAATCTGGAGACGAAAACAGATAGACAGTTAATGGAGGGATCGTAAAACTCATTCCAGGCGCCAACTGTCCATTAATGCCGAGAGGCAAACACTCGAAATGCCTTCACGTCGTCGTAGAAGCCACCGCAAGTGAGTCACACTCACGCTCCGACTCTCAGTGTGTGTCCAAGACGATGACGTCTTCGATTAAGTTGAGTGGAGTGGAGTGGAGTGGAGTGGAGTGGAGTGGTGGCCTGCGTGGAGGTTAGGTTAGGCCACTTACCATGGCACAGGAGGTGTTGGTCACCCGCGTGCAGTTGTTTAGCTGAATGTCAGTGCCATTTCGACGCACCACTGAGTGTATCTGTGGACAGAAGCCACTGGTGCGGGTCAGACACCACTCGCCGCACGAGGCCCAGGGGCAGTTGTTGGGCATCTGACGGTCCACGGTCTGACACATGACCGGATCCAGCTCGAAGCCGGACTTGAAGGCTCTGCAGATAATGAAGTCATCGGTTAAAGATAGTTCCTTCCAGTGGGTTTGGGTAGAGCTTACTTCATGGAGGGTGAATAGATGGCCACGCTGAGATAGACAATGGACACGCAGGAGAGCACCATCGTCAGCTGGCAAAGGCAAATGGCACGACAGATGCGCTTGTCCTGCTCGGGTATGAGGCGCGGCTTGTTCTTGCGTCTCGCCATGCCCCTAGATTGGATATACTACTTCCTGGGAGTGGGTCTCGATACGGTTCTGATTTTTTTTTGTAATTTTAACTGCTAATTTACGACTTGTTGATTTTGGTGGCCCACTTTCCGGCGAACCCTGCACTTTTGCCCTGTGTTGTTTTCAAGGTGATTCTCTTTTGGTTTGCTGGACTGGGGCCTGGATGGACTGGTGGTGGGGGTGCTTGTGGGTTGGGTAGGTGTTGGCTGGTTGCTTGGCGGTGGTGGTTGTGGTGTGTGGAAGTTTGTTTTTGTGGGTGAAGTGGTGTGTGGGTTGGGGCGTGTTGTTCTATTTTTGTGTTATTGTGTGAACTTTTAAAGTTTACTTGAAACTGGACGAGGATTAGGATGGGATGAGATGTGTATGTGATTGGATGGATGGAGTGTTTTTGTGGGGTTTCGTTTTTCCTCTAGCTTCACTTTGACCGCGACCTGAGGATGATTGCTTTTGAGGGGGTAGCCACAGATGGAGCGCTGGAGCTGCCACGTCCGCTCCTGGTGCGTGCTCGTGCAAAACTGAAATTGCTGACTCTGGATCCCCGACTGAGTATCCCGGAGCAGGGCATGCCAGGGCTGCAGGCGGACACTGCGCACTCTTACTTTTTTTCGAAAGGAAAGCGAAAGTGAAAGCCACAACAGTCTGATGCAGGGACTGGGGCAGGGATGGAGACAGCTCAACAAATGGTTCCAGGTCCTGCCACGACGCCTGCGCCGGTAGAGGGAGAGCTCTTTCTCTGGCCTCATTTATCCTTAGCCTCTCTCTTACTCCTTTCTCTCTCTCTCATTTTCCACCACATTCGAAAAGAAAACATTTCTCATTTAGCATTTCTCCACTTTTGGGTTTTGTTTTTTTTTTAGCGCTTTGCTTGTCTTTTTTTTGTGTGTTTAATTATTTATTAAATAGGCCGTTAGCTGGTTTAATTTGTTTATTGATAAAGACACGTTAAGTAAAAAATTTTTAATCATTTTGCATTCAAATTTTTGTTTTGTTTGTTCTTCGGTTTTGTTTTTAGTTTTGGTTTGCTTTTGGTTTTTGTTTGTATGATTTAAAAAATTCTCATAAGCAACGTGCGTTTTATCGGTTCTGCTAAGCTATATGTATTATATATATATATATATATCTATGTATATATATATATACATATGTATGTATGTATTGCTATAATTTGTTAGATGTTTTCGTTTTTACATTAGTTTCTCTAAGACTATTTCAAAAATGTTTTGAGAGTGTTTTTTCCATGTGTGAGTATTTTTTGAGTGAGAAATTTGGTTCTTCTGCTTGAACTCTTGGATTGTATTTTGTCTTTTGTATCTTGTACGTACGAGTATCATCCATTTTGTGGTAAATCTATCATTTAATGCCAACATCTTTATGAATCTTTAGCTTAGCGGACTCGGACTCGGACTCGTTTCCCTCTATACAAATGTTTGATTGGTTTCTTCGTATTTGTTTTCATTTTCATTTTTTAGTTAGGTTTCTTTTTGTTTTACGAATTTACTTAATATTTTTATGACTACTATCACAATTTGTTGAAAACAAGCGATTCTTTAATTGGTATTTGGTATTATCATTGTGGATAACGAAGTCGAGTGTCGAGAGCAATCATAAAGCGGAGCATCGTCCAACTCGAAGAAGTCAAAGTGATACAGGAAACAAAGTTATATATATATAGTACGAGTGTTACAATAATATTGCATGATGGCTAAAGATGGTATCTGAATTGTAGAAGCCAAAAGTATCGAATAAAATATATTTATCTATGCAATTATGTTTAATAGTTGTTGAAATGTTTTGTGTTCTCCTTCCTTTGACGATGCTCCGCTGGCAATTTATAATTATTATTATTTTTCTTGTACATATTTATCGTCCGATGTGTGAGTTGGCAGATGGCAAATGGTAATTCTCTTTCGATCGTTTCATTATGTATTTTATGGTTTTTTATAACTATATAGTATAAGCTATGTTTGTGTCTGATACTGACTACAAAGTTGAGTTTGCTATTTGTTTAGGGGCTTTAGCTTTAGCTAATTTGTATTTTTGCTAGTATTCCATATCATCATCTTCGTCACTGTGACACAGAAGTTTGCTAGAATTGGAATATATTGGGTTGGAACAAAGTTGCTTAGTCAATTCTAGAGTCAGAGTTAGTGAAAGTAAAAGCAATATATATATGTATATAGTAAGAGTATATATACGGGGATCATGCCATACAATACGAATACGAGTAGGTACTAAGTATAATCGAAAGTAATAATTAGAAGCGGTTCAAAGTAAAAGCATGCAAATAACCAAGGCCTAGCCTCATGCCCTCTTCTTATGCGTAATATCAGTTTTAATTAAATAGGAGAAACATTCGATATGTATACGAGTACGAGTATATATATGTAGATATATGTATGTACTATGTTATATTAGAAGATTAGTAAATAGAAAAAAAGGAAAATGTTGGGGACGTGTGAGTAAACCTGAAAGAAACCTCTTGTAAATTCATTTTTTTTGGTTTTGTAAAAGTTAAAGCTACAGACTATAAAAATTGTTTGAGTACGAAGTACTTTTGAGTGAGAATACGAAATTCCTATCATGTGCTCAGAGTGTGTATGAAAGAGATGTGTCCTTGAGAGGTGCTAAGGACTAAGTCTACAATTTGGAACATTATGGAAATGCATTAATTGCTAAGGACACTTCAGAGTAACATTAATTCGCTTTGGGTTTCTTTTTTTTTGGTAAATTCAGGATGCTCTTGTTCTTGCTATTTTTGTTGTTGTTGCGGGTGGTTAGGATCTCTACGACAAGCGACAACTGTGGTGCCAGAGACATTACTCTTTTGATTTCAGCATTTAACGTCGCACTTAACCTATCACAAATAGATACATTTTGGGGGGGGGAACCAACGATCAGATCTCATATTTCAAAACACATTCAAGGACAACGATTTTTCCGTATTACATTTCATGCAGTTAACGATCCTGTAAGTAAGTTATAGAAGTAATAAAGAGAAAGAAGAACGAAAGAACCCATGAATTACAGGCTGGGCATGGGGTATTGGGGCGCACTGAGATGTGAAACAGAAAACAGAAACGGAAAAGTATACAAGAAGTTACAATCATTACAATAATTTGTTGGTTTAACTTATGGTTTAGGCCAATTGAAAGGAATAATTTACATTCATAAAAGTAGGAGCAAGATAACAGCATAACAGCACGATCTTTGACAATATGTAGGATGTATGTACGTATCTTCATACAAGGCACAATGAAGGAGTGTTTGTGGATTTCTACTATAGTTACGGTACGGAGACTAGACAGGAGTCAGGAATCGCAAACATATGTACGAGTATGAATGATAACAAGATGCAGGACAGGATGTGCAGATGCTGCGTCTGGTAGTTGCTTGGTTGTTGGATTTGAACTCACTCTTCCTTGGTTGGGAACTTCTCGGCGTAGACCCGCGATGACTTATTGCAGGCCTTCTCGCAGCAGGGGCAGTACCAGTAGCTCAGCACCCCGATGGAGATGGCAAAGAGCACATTCGGTATGATCAGCGACAGGACCAAATGGTACAGATTGTTCTCCCACGAGTAGCGGCCAATAACGACCTCTGGATAGGCACGACTGTAGTAGCAGGGGAATGGCTCCCCAATATGAGAGAAGCTGCAAACAAATCGAATGAAAATTTATCATTTAGATTGGGGATGCACACAGCTGAATGCTTACCCATACTGCCTGGCGAATACGCTGCAGTTGGTCGTGGGCGGATACCCGCAGCCCTCGGAGTTGATCAGAAACTTTGTATAGCTAACATCCCAGTTGACGGTGTCCACGTCCCGGGGATTACGCTCCCAGTCGCTGTACGGAATGCGCGTATAGTTGACAAACAACTGATGGCACCTTGAGTGTATTATAGAAACATTTATCAGTATTCAATTACTATGCTTTTATCGCCTACTTGGTGAGTGATGAGGTGCAGCCCTCGCGACATGAGCTCCAGCTGCAGTTCTTGATGCCTTCCGCATAGATATGATCGATTACTATGCAGGTCACAGGCACTGGATCATAGTCGGCAATGATCGTTGAGATGGCGGGATCCACTACGAAGGGTATCAGGAAGAGGAATGTGAACACCGACAAAATGGCAGTCGTACCTGAAGGAGAGAAGAACCATACATTAGATATCGATAGATATGTAGATAGGACTTTGCTTACCAAGGCACACGGAGGTATAGAACTTTGCCTTCTCGAGTAGTGTATCGATTTCGATCTCCTCGCGCTTCGCCTTGATGGCGTCCACGCAGCCGCTGCCCGGCCTAACCGGTGACTGGCAGGAGGAGCGTATCGATCCCGCCACCGAGCCGCCAGATCTGCTGCTATTGCTGTTCAGGCTGATCTTGCTGGCGGATAGTGTCTGTGCCGAGAGCGTTGGACTCGTCGGCATTGACGTTGTCGTTGTCAGAGTGGAGCTCTTCTTCATTCTGATTCTCTGTGGTTTGTGGTTGTTGTGTGTTGGGTGTGTGGTTTCTTGTGTTTTTTTTCTTAGATTTTAGGATCAGTAAAAGCTTTTAAAATGAACACCGCTAACAATTCTACACTCTCTCTCTCTCTCTCTCTCTCTGTTTATCTCTTTACCTTCTGCTGCTCTCCTGCTTTCCTGCCCTTTCTCCTTCTTCCTACTGTGAATGTGGGTTAGCTTACGTCTCTATTATCTCTTTCGATGTCTCCTCCTTCTCCTTCTCTGGCCTTTTCCTAGTTTGCCTTATTTTTGTAGAGCCGAAAGGGAAAAAGGTATTTTCTTTTTTCTTTTTAAATCTAATTGGAACCTCCTTTTGTGTGGGGGCGGGGGAGAGGGCGGCGGTTCCGTTCCTTCTTCTTGTATATTGATTAATTTTATCTAAATTTATTTTATTATTATTCGGTTTTTGCTTTAGGTTTAACTTTTTTGCTTCGTCTTCGACTCTGAATAGTTTTTTTTGTCGTTCCGAGATTTGGTTTTTTTTTTTATAGTTTATAGTTTTGTTTTTCTTTTTTTTTGATCACGCATCCCTCCTAATCTTCTTCTTAAGCTGCTGTTGTTTTGTTGTTTGGACCAATTCTGAAATGTCTCTGCCTTCTCCTGAACCTTTCAACGGATTCGGATTCTGTTCCTCCTCCTTCTTCTTCCTCTGCTGCTGCTCCTGGTGTCTGTGTGTGGGTGCAGTGTGTTCTTGTGTCCCTGTGCATGTGTGTGTGTGGTGTGCGCTTTATTCCCTAGAAAAAACTTAGCTGCATAATTAACAATAAATGTGGAATCAATCCTCGCTCTGACGTCCCTGCTTCTCCCTGTCTGTTTGCTACCTACATCACATATCCTAAAGTCTCTGGCCCTAATCCAATGCAAATACAAATACAAATAACTCAATTAATAACGAATTAATTCAATAAATTATACTAATATTGTCTTCTGATCGATTCGTATCGATCGTCGTATTCTTTTTTGAGTGTTTCACGCGCCTTCTCCTTGCCTCGTCCTGTTTCAGTTTGAGTTTCAGTTTTGGTTTCAAGTTTTCTGTTCTTTTTTCCGGTGTGTTTAGCTCAGGAGTGTCCTTGCAAGCCTTTGGGTTGGTGTGGGTGTAGGTGTAGCTGCGGCTGTGGCTGTGTTTTTGTGGTCGTTTTGTTAAAAGTTCAATGGAAGGATTACAAAGATTATTTCAAGTTGCTCGATTGTGCTGCTCTTCTTCTGGTTTGTTGTGGCCAACTCCAACTTATTGCAAAGCGAAGACCCCAGTCTGATGTATCGGACTGTCTTCCTGGAGCAGAGGAATGCCTGCAGAATAGAAAAGAGAATTTAGAATATTAATGCCAGATGCTGCTTAAATGATTTCCAAGGGCTCAGTAACTTCTGTGAGTTCTAAAAGAGGGACCAAGGGAAAAGGCTTTAACTATAACTAACTCTATCCTATGTTCATAAAGGGGGTTCTGTTCTCTGCTCTAAAATCTGCTGTTCTATCTGGAAAAGCTGAGTAGAAATACATAAATCAATCCAGAGACCTGGTAGCCTGAAACCGAATGAATCTCTCACTCTTTCACATGTGGGCAATGGCAAAGGCGGCTGTCGACAGAGAAAATACTCAGTGGTTAACTGCAATACCAATATGGGTCCTTGGATAGTACTATTTTTGCTTACGTGACGGATCTCATAGGGCCATAACCTCATCGCCACCGCCCCCACCCATGTCGCCGTTGGTGGGTGCACCGACGTTGTTCTTGTTCAGGATGGTCTCCGTGTCCACGCAGCCCTTGAAACGCATCTTGGCATCGTCGCCCACGTAGACGGTCTTCTGGCACATCAGCAGGATGGAGCAGGAGACAACGAAGAGCACCGATGGCACCACCGAAGCGAACACAAACTGGCGATAGGTAACCTCCAGGTCGAAGCGGGCCACCACCACATCCTTCTTGCCGGGCGAATAGAAGCAGGGGAAGCGTGCGCGTGCATTATGATCGCTGCCATCACGGCCAAAGTCCTTGAGGAACTCCTTGCACTCGTCCATGAGGGTGTTAACGCATCCCTCGAGATTAATCATCAGCTTGGACTCGTTGGAAATGGTCAGATCGACATCGGGCGGTGCTATCTCCGGCACGGGCGTGGCTACCGAGACATGCAGGTGGCTCAGATATGTGAAATTTGTCAGATCAGTGAGCATATTGTGCTCCAGCGTCGACCCATTGATGCAGTCCACCGCATCCACGCGATCCGGAGAGTTCTTGATGTAATAGCACGAAGTCATGGCCACATTTTCGCTGGACTCGTTCCACACCTCCTCCATGGTTTCCGCATTGATGGCATTCTGGCACTGCGAGAGATAGACCTTGTCCCCGCTGAGCACCACCACGTTCTTGTTCCTGGTCGGGATATCCACACACCGACGGTCGCAGTTGTAGGGTGTGCGGATCTTGCGACAAGTCCCGCGGCTGCACGAGTACAACCCGCTGATGTCCATGCAGTTGATCTTGCCGCGACGACCGGAACACTTGACGGGTGCGTCGCTGTTGTGGAAAACGCACTCGAAGGCGTCCGTGATGTTCAGGCACTGGCCGGCGGTGCAGTTGAATGTGCCCGTGAGGTTCTTGCACTCGTCATTGATGCAGCGCGCCTTGTCCGCCCGGTCCTGGTCGATGCCGTAGCACGTTTTGTTCGCAGAATTCGTGCAGTTCTGGAAGATGAGATTGGAGCCGTTGGCGCGCAAATTCACGTAGATCTGGATGCAGGCACCCGACGTCTTGCTCAGGCACCACTCTCCGCAGCTGCCCCACTCGCAGTTGTCCTTGTTCAATGCCCGCGTGGTGGTGCACATCACGGGAGTGGGATCGATGCCGCTCTTGAAGGCACGCGTGGACGGCATGTAGATGGCCACCGTGAGGTAGACCAGAGCCACTGAACTGAGCACCAGTGTCATCTGGCAGATGCAGATGGTGCCACAGATTCGGGTGTCCTGTGGCGGCACAACCAGGTCCTCTGTCGCCACCTTTTTCTTGCCCATTTCGTGTGTGTTGGCTTTGCTTTACTTTAAACGGGTGGCACGTGGAAGGTGGAAAGTGGCAAGTGGCAGGTGTTCTGTTCTCTCCTCTCTCTAATTGCTGTGGCTAATCCCTGGGTTGTAATCTAATTAAGAGCACACATCATCTCGGATTGGCAGGCAGTGGGGGCGCAGGCAGCAGGGCAGTCTATCGATTGAGCAAACAGTTTATGCGTGGGAGGGCGAAAAGCCTCAGCCTCAGCCTCAGCCTGAACCTGTGCCTCTGTGTTATATAACGCTGGCACCGTCGTTTGCGTATGCTTTTCTTTTGTGTGTGGGGTGTACCGCGGGACTCGAATCTGAAACTTTCACGGGCTGCGCGCACGTTTTTGGTAGAGTTCCAGACGGAATGACACTTTTCGTAGGCAAGCTAGGGCCTATCGATTTTTATTTGATTTCACTTTAAACGTTTCTGGCCCCATACGGAACCCAATTGCATCACGTGCTGCTGCTACGGCCTGGCCAGAAAGTCTCTCCTTTGTCTTTGCCGCTCCCTCTGCAAACTCTCCGTTTCTCTTTTTAATAGCGGTTGGTGCGGGGCCTATCCGTTGACTGATTTCTGATTTAGTTATTGACTTTTTTGCTACTATGTAATTTTGGTAATTATATTTTTGCTTGATTGGCGACCAGCAGCTAGCAGCTGCCGTGCTTGGGGCTCGTGACAATTTTCAGACTGGGCCCAAGGCTTTGGCTTGGCTCTGGCTTTGCTCTGCAGAGTTCGCGTTGCGAGTGATTTCGGATTGGCGAATGGAGAATAGAATGCATTCGGCTCTGCTCCGCTCCGCTCTCTGGCGCCTCACTGACCGCCGACAACATGCCGCCACCGTCGCGTGCTCCACGAGATGTCTCTTCGTTTGGGGGTCGTGTGGCATATGTTAGCTTTGGAGCCAAATCTCAGAGCAGAACAGAGCAGAGCCATGCGCGCGCATTTTTATTGCAAAATCAATAGAGTTCCGCATTCACGATTTCGGTGCTGTCGAACGCAAAAAGGCAAAGGAATCTCTGGACATCCCCCGACCTCGTACACACCCCAATCCCCTCACCCTCACTGGATTTTCATTGATTAAGTCGTCCTCCGTACGGCGGTCGTGGATGCATGTGCACTCTCCGTTCAATGTTGTGATATGCTCCAGATTCTCAGGCAACTGCAGGACGCTGCTGCTGCTGCTGCTGCCCTCTGCTCTGCTCTCTCTCTCTCCCATCCAGAAGGGCAGAATGGGTTGCCATGACGCCATCGTACATTAGCTATCAACATACAAGTACTATATTTAACTGCTGTGCGTAAAGAGTACAAAAATAGGTTAGCGGAATTCGGTGTTCGTATTTCTGAGTAAGTTCCGTAGTGTGAGGTGGAGTGACAGCATCATTTTTCGCTGGAAGCGACTGCCCAGCGTCATCAAGAGATTTACTATTTTTCTATTCTGTTGTCATCCCTCCGTGATGGGATGGTTCCAGGCCTTGGCAATGAGTCGCACAGTGTCCTGGGTTAGTTTCGGTCCAATCAGCGGGTTCAGCTGAGCCAGATAGCAGCAGAGCCAAAAGAGCCAGCAACAGACTGCCGTCAGCAGGAAGATGCAGCGCACCAGATCTTGTTGATGCTCCTTGGACACCAGACTAGGACCGCCCAGTCCAACGGCAGCCCATATAGCGGTGAAGAAGAGGATCGTGAAGAAGACTTCCATGTTGCAGACTCTTCAAATTGTTCGACTTTCCTTTTTTTATGACTAACAGCGGGCGTAAAATTAACTTTGTTTTTCTTTATCAGAGCCCAAAAATCCCCTAACGCCTTTCGAAAATCCCAAGAGTGAGAAACTTTACAGCACTGACGCACACGCACTGCTGATCATTTACAACACTAGCAAACAGATGGTTGGTCTTTGAAATGGCGCCTATTCTAACCTTTTTCATGGAAATTGGAAAGTTTAAACAATTTATAACTCTGCAGCTGGGATGGAAATGAATATATATATTGGTAGCGTCACTTGGATATAAATTATTTTAACAAACACTTCCTAAGTAACCTTCATTCTGAGGGGCCCTGAGAGAGACTGCATCTCCAATGGAGATTCAATCTATTGCCAAGTGGAAATTTTTTGTTTTTTCAATATTTCACTTGGACACGCTAGACACTAAACTTTTGTGTTTATCGCATTGAATAATCAATGGCAGGAGTTATTGAGGAATGTTGCTTTTGCCTCCTCCATATATACAAATATATATATATGTATGTATGTGTCTACTCTGGTATGTGCGGAATGCGCTCATAAGTAGGCCCTGTGCTTGTGGTGGGAAGGAAGGTCAATCAATGAGCAATGAAGGATTTATTTCATCATGATTTCGGTTCGATTTCAATTAGACTTTAAGTTCGTGTAGTACTCACATGTAAATTGTGGATGTTTCACCATCGAATGTTGAGGTTTATTTACGTTCACAGCGCACGCACACGCGGAGGGTGAAAGGAGACGACCGACGAGAGTGGAGAAATGCCATGAGGCAGGACACACACACCAATACACAAGCAGCAGTCCGAATATCCGTGTCGCACTGGCCAGCAAAGTCGTTTCATAATAAAACGCAGTCCCAGCCTCTTAGCACACGCCCACACATTATGCACTTGTCGTGTAGAGATTATTGGATGAGTTCGCTGGCTGATCCGCAGCTATTCATAAGGCAGTAATGATTTGATTTTTGGTTTTTCCTTCCATTTCCCACTGGCCAGCGAGCCGAGAAAATTCCAAACAGCCGAACTATATGACGTGCACGGCTCACGGCTCACGTTTCCCTGCTGTTTACGGCCAACTCTTCTGACATTTCTCTGCCTTTTCTGGCTTTGGCTCTGGCTCCGACTCCGTTGCTGGTGGTCGCATCTCTCTGTCTCAAGAGAGAGAGAATGTTGGTGGGGCGCAGGCGCTACCAGGCTTTACGTCATCCAAGTGGCCCGTTGCCGTTGCTGCCACTGTTGCTGCCACAGAGGAAAGCTTTCGGGGGAGAGAAGCTTTCCCCAAAAGCTGCGCACAGAATAATAACGGGGCATGGAGCCTTGCTTCAATTGCAGCGTTGCCAGTGGCAGGCAGTCCTTTCGGTGAAGAGTTTACCGTTTCGTTCTCTCGTTGCTGTCATCGCCGCAGCCGTTGGGGCTGTCTTTTGGTTGTCGTTGCCGTCGTCGCTGCTCCTCTATTGTCATTTGTCGACACAGACAAAACCATTGACATCGCCATCGCCATAGCCATAGCCATTGCCTCTTCTTATCCGTTATTTCGCTAGGGCTCCTTCTGCGAAAATGGCAAGAAAGAAATTTGGAACGCGAACGTGAATGGTTTTTTGTGTGTGTTTTGCAACTTTTGACCCCGTGCGCGCAATCAGGTCATAAAAATTGTTAACTCTGAAAGAATAAAACGTGGAGCCATGGCCATGCCCATGCCCACTCTCTGTTGACTCCGGGTAAACACTGGGAAAACTGTGACTGTGCTGTGCGGTGAGGAGCGGGGGGATTTTCAGTGTGATTGAAAATGCGTAATCGTTCCTGTCGTTCCGTTGCCGTTCACCGCGTAACCTGAACCTTGAGTAAACACACACACAGACTCAAAATCTGTAACGCACACACACACACACACACATCTGCCCAGGAGGAGCACGCAACTCTACGTCACTCAATCAGAAATGTAGGGGGTGATGTCGTAAAGAGACACATGCCAGTGTGCCCACAATAGAAATACAAAGAATTTGTGTGTTTCAACTACATTTAATTGATCTGCCTCCAAGGGAAATCTTTTTGCTGGGGAGGAGGCAACTGAAAAATCGTTTCGTGCAAAGCACAAGAAGTTGCCAAGGGGACAGCAGTCCTCCTCACACTCCACCAGCCTTTACCAGAGGGTAGGATAGGGTATGGGCTGAGCTGAGGGGTCTGGCAATCGTCGTCGTCGCCGCCGCCGCCTATATATGCCGCATAATTTCGATTGGAGCTGGCAGGCTCTCCTTTCTCTCACTTACTAAATTGCTCTCTTTCTCTCTCCCTCTCTATTTCACCGTTTCTTCTTTGGCTTGTGTGGTAGGGATTGCATGTGCACGGCCTCTCTGTGTGTGTGTGAAAGCGTGCCAAATGAATTGAAAATTACAAGTGGCTCCACATAGTCGCCTCCCCGCCCCTCTTTCTGAGCAGCAACACTGCATTTGGGGCCTGACAGAAGGAGTTTTATTATTTAAACATGCCGCTCGGGCTCGTGCTGGTTCTGGTGTTGTGCCTCTGAGCTCATTGTTGCCCCCGCCTGCGCCGCTTGTTTCCGTTTCGTAATACTCCTCGCAATAAGTGCCAAGAACCAGAGCCCCACTTTCAACTGGCCAAACAGAAACGAAACCAGCAACAGCCCCACGACTAGTCGTCGGTCGAGGTTATATAAAAATAAACGCTAGCGAACATTACACACGTCGTCACCTTTTCCCCAGGGGTTTAAAAATACCAATCTACTAGCGCATTAACGGTAAAAGCGGTATCAGTATTTTAAACCGAGTCCTCTCTCTTTCTTCCTCTCTCTCTCCGTCTCGTTCTCCAACACAGTTTTTACCTGCACGTGGCACGGATAGTGTGTGAAAGCTGGGGAGAGAGAGAGACACCGAAAACAAAACAAAGCAAAAAAAGTGAAAAAGGAGAAAAGAAGCAACCAAAAACTGTCCGTCCAGCATTCTTTTTTTAAATGTACATAGAAAAAATAAAACAAGTGAACCAAATGCCAGGCTAAGAAGAATCAGTGGAACCACATCAGCAGCACCAAGAGCTGTGCAGAGTGAGACCTCCACAAAATTGGCCATTGGCAGGCCACGGACGGAACACAAGACACGCACACACACACAAAAACACATTTTAACATACACAACTCACACTTATACAAGAAACAAGCTTAGCCTTTTGCCGCAGTCATAAAATAATCAAGCCGAGGCAGCAGCAGCAGAGCACAGCTAAATCAAGCCAGAGAAAGAGGACGTGAACGTGGACAAAGGGTAGAAAGAGGAGGAACTGCAGCATCATCGTGTGTTGATGTTGACGAAACATCTCCGTTGGGACGCATAAAGCAATTAGTAAAGGTTGAATCCCGTACGCACACTAGAACATAGGAAACGTGTGCATACATACGCACTGCCACAGTGAGTGAAAGGAAAAGAGTAAGAGTACTGCGGGGGAAAAAGGAAGAACGGCACGGATCCAGGATGCGTGGGGGAGCCAAAGGAGCCACGCGCCCCCCACAGGAGTATTTAGCCTAATCGAGTGATGCGCAGCACAGAAATGCAGGGCGCCGCCGCCTTCAGCCTGCCTTATTGCAGATGCCAGAGATGTCCAAGATAACGGGGAAACAGAAGCAGCAGCAGCAGAGCAAGAAAAAGAAGAGAAGGACAGCAACAACAACAACAGGAAGAACAACAAGAAAAGGAGGAGGAAGGACACGACACACAAACAGCAGAAAGCGAGAAACGAAAATCGAACTCTCCCTGTGATATAACTTGCACCGTACTCGTAATTCTAGCTAGTAGCTCATCGTTATTTATCGATTAATTACTTAATTAATCTAAGCGCAACTTTAACCTAAGTACAAGATTAATCTCACTCCATAATCGCCTAAAGCACGCCCCAGGATAACCTACTTGCAACTATACAGATAACACTTCTATTACAATACCACTGCTGCCCCTCTGCCCAAAACCAATACCCAAACACAAACATTTGGAATACTTGCTGCCGCTCTGCTCCGCCGCCGCCACCGTAGCCGCCGCCAGACCTGCGCCAATTGAGAAACTAAAACCAGGCTTTATCGAAAGCTAAATCTGAAAAAAACTCCCAACAGGGGTGAGTGAGTGAAAAAGAGACCAAAATCAAATTTCAACACCAACATAATGGGAGATGAGGCTGACAAACGTACGGGCAAGGAGAAACTGCTCTTCTACACGACTGCCTTCTTCATCCTCCTAGGCACGTTCAGCCTGTTCGCCTTCCTCTTTCTGGTGCCGTTCGTTATCGAGCCGGCCTTCACCACAATCTTTATGCAGTTCGAGGAGGTGCCCGCTTTGTGCGAGACTTACGACACGGAGATCTTCTATGGCGCCAAGAACTGCTCGTGGTCGTCTTGCCGCGAAGGCTGCACCAAGGACATCTACACGTGCACCCAAATAAGGGTCAACTATCGCCTCAATCTGTACAACTTCACGGACGAGTTTAACTTCACGGAGTACCACATCGTCCTGAAGGAGTCGGAGCGCGTTCTGCCGCCCGTGAAGCGCACGGATCGCTATGAGCGAGCGTTGCGGGACTACGAGTACGATAATCTGGGCGGTGGCATCGATGGCACCGCCCTGGACATCGACATGGGAGGCGGCGGGAGGCTGGATCAGTTGAGCTTCGGCGATGCAGACGGCTCCAATGGTTTTCTGATTGAGGACTCGGACGATGCGCGGGGCCTAAGTGCCACGGGCACCTTGATGAACGAGGAGCGCCATCCGTTCGATGAGATCTCCGAGTTGAATGAGGGTCTGATGGGCAACAGGTCCATGTACTACTATGTGGGCGCTCGTCTCTTTCCCAACGTCAAGGGCTGCGGGTATCCGCCCATGTTGAACTGCACCATCTGGCTGAAGCGATACACGAAGATCGGAATGAAGTTCCCCTGCTACTACTCGAGAGTGGATCCCAGTCTGGTGATCAGTGACCTGGACTACTGGCAGAACACCCTCAATCTGGTGTACTCCATGGCCATTCCCATTCCCTCGTTCATAATTTCGGTTATCTACTTGACGTACGCCTACTTCAAGATCTACAATGAGGACGAGGAGACGGCGCCGCTCGATAAAAATGCCGAAGACATGGACATTGATGACATCGATGCCGTCGACGACAGTGACGGTGCCGTTCTGGCCGACAATGTCGCTGGCAGCCAAATCATCAACATGGACTCCACCACCAATGACAGTTGTCTGGAGGGTGTCCTGCCCAATGGTGGTCCCGGCATGACCACATCCATATCGCAGGGTGGTTCGGTCACCACACCAGGTCCATATATCGCACAATCTCCGGTGGGCTCCCAGATGACGCCTAATTCGGAGATGAACTCGTTCGGTCATCAACTGAAAGTTCAGATGGCTGACGAGCTGTCCAGGGATTCCCTGGAGAATGGTGTTATCTCAACATCAAACTCAGTTCAAGGGTAAGATCATTCCCAGATAAAGGAATAAAGGGAAAACTGTGATTTAAAAGACAATATTCATATAAATATATATTTATAGTAATTATTATATAATTTTGATCCTAACTCATGCTCAAACCTTTTCTATATTGCAGAAACTTGAGCAAGACGATGACGACGAGTATCTCAACTCCACCTGGGCCGACAGCGGCAGTCTGAAACGTCAGGCGCATGGTCTGGAAAATGTTAGATTCCGATTCGGAAAATGAACCGCTGCTGGAATCCTAAAAACAGTATTGCGGGCACCGTGGAGCAAAACCCCTAGAGGATGTTCCACGAGCAAACAGAAGACGGAGCAGAGTATTTCCCCAAAAAAGTATTTCTACCCAAAAACCAAAAAGAGAAAACAATCGACAACAACGCATGTGTATGCGACCGAACCTGAATACCTTCAGAGCTGTTAGAGACATCTAAAAGAACTATGATAGATTATATTTACCGTATAAACAACAAAAATACTTGAACACACCACACACACTCTAGGAACACACTCATCTGAAGTAACTTTGGATAGGCTTAACGACACACCCCACACCCACACCCACACCACACATCCCATTCAAAATTGCAATACATGCATTATGTAGTATCTGCACACGATATGATATCCGAAATATAACGCAGGCAGATATGTATACTATACGGATGAGGAGGCCGACCGCTTCACGCAAGGACCCACTCACTGGACAGTGTGTGTTACTTTAATTGGTACAAAATACAATAACAAAATAAAACAGCAAAACAGAACATGAACAGGAGGAGAAGAAGAAGTACTATATACTTACCTAGAGGAAATTATAATACTTATACAACACATACATATACATATATACAAATATTTACTTGACTTATTTTTCTATTCGCAACAATCGTCGTTTCGTGCCGCAGTCGTCGTCTCGCGGAAGAACTCCAATAGCCCAACAATGACCCCGAATATATCGCCCCATATATTCCCATACCCAACACACATCCCATATGCTCCAAAAAGAGCAAAACAAAACGCGCAACTTATTTACAAATCGATAAATCGAGGCGCTGAGGTTTTTTAAATATTGTAATGCCAATTCAAAACGAAACACATACACACACACCAACACGACACGCAAAAGAGAAAGCAAAAACTAAATTGATGATGCATCATGTATTTCATTTAAATCTTGATGATAAAGGAAAACGAAAGCAAATGCAAAAGCAAAAGAAAGTGAAGAGATGAGATTGCCTATATTTGAAGTAAATTAAATTAAATTAAATTATAAATCAAATAATAATTGTTATCCTTCAAATTAAATGCGGATAAAAACTCACAGCTTTAACTAACTGAAACGGAGGCATAAGATTTTTCTTCTACATATTTATTTTATTAAGATTAATTATATAAATGATAATGAATATTTATAGGTCCTACAAATGGTTCAAGCTATTCAATTACAAAACAAACTTACAAATAAAATATTGCATTAAAATCTTAATAATTTAGGTCTGAAATTAAATATAAAGTAATGTTTCCTTTTTATATTAACAAAAAAAAACCAAAACCAAATCGAACATTTCTAAACTCGAATGCGTAAATTCGTTGCCTAGGCATATAGTCGCATCTGAATCTGCGTCTGCATCTGCATCAGCATCATTAACTGCACTTTTGCGTATAAATCTATCAATGATAAGCGGCAACTCAACAAAAACTACACCAACCAATAAAAAATAGTTTCTTTTTAACGAGACAATGAGATATATTTGCAAGAGAGAATGTGAACACACATAGTGAGTAAAACGAAAGCAAAAACAAGCGCAACTATTAGCTAATATCATGTAAAACAAACAACAAATAAAATGCTACTAGAATTGAAACCAATTAACATGATAAATCTCGAAATAAATACGCATTTAGCAGCCTATGTATTGTTGTTCTTGTTCTTCTTCAATTTCTTATAACGGTACTTTGAAAAACGCGGTAAAACTGTTGGTTCCCTGCACGTTTGCCAACACTAAAACTGTGAATGGTCAAACTGTAAGAAGAAGACAGACTCAGCTGTTGCCGTTTTCACCTGTGCCGTGCGATGTGAAAATTCAGTAAAATATATCTTCAACAATTGCCTAACAAGACGAGGCTGCTACGTCTCGCTATCTATACTCCTATATTCTCTGGCCGATGCTGAGGCCAATTCTTCAATAGCGTTTCCCCTTCACGGTACGGTCTGGGCAGTGGCGTGGCCAGGGCAGCAGCCATAGTCGTCGGCAGACTTTAAACTTGTAAACAAATCTCTCGCTGAAGGAAAATCAGTGCTCAGACTTATTAACAAATGCTTCCGCTTAGCTGAGTTGCCAAATAATGGACAATAAGAAGGATATCTACAACTTGTGGGTGCAGTACACAACAAAGGTAAGCGGCAGTACACCAGAAGAACCAAATTATTTGATAAGCCTGCCCCAAAACAGTGCTAGCGGCGGGACGTGTGAGTGTGTGTGTGTGTGTGTGTGTACGTGTGCAAGGGGGGCGGTGATATCCACCGCAGTGACATTTTTGACTCATTAGTCACCGTCACACTGGCTTATTATCAGAGACTATGGCCAATGAATGTAATGATTGAGCGCGGGCAGAACCCAACAGCGAGATTATATAATCCAAGGCAGGCTCAGGCCACATTACAATACATCCTTCTCTCTCTCTCACACACTCTTGTTCTCTCTCTTTAAGAACGATGAGAGATACTTCCGGGAATTTGTGGCCCGCTTTGTGGCCATTTGGCGCAGCCAACTGCAACTGGACTTTCAGGCCGAGAATTGTCCATTTTGGCATGAGGTTCTGTCGGACAGTGGACCGCATTTGGGTCGATTGCCAGACGAGCTGCTGCCTGCTATTGGCAAGTTCATTATTGTGGCCCGCGATGCCAGCGACACGAGCGAGCGGCTGGAGGAGGAAGCCATTGAACAGGTTGCCACACTCATTGACTGCCTGGTGATTGTGTGCCGGCACTTTGACAACATTCTGGCCATCATCACGTACGAGTACAAGCCGAACCTCATCGCAATACTCTCCAAAGTGTTCAAGCAGGTAACTAGCAGCGCCAGTCATTGCAATCAATCTCTAAGCGTTTATCTATCGATTCCAGCAAATGGAGCAGCCGCATGCGGTGCCAGCCATATGTCATCTCTTCCGCAGCTTCTCGGCCTTTCTGGAGGTCATGTACGATCCGTATCTGACGTGGCGGAGCTTTGTGCGTGGCCAGGCGGCCGACTACACTCGCCTCTCCTACAAGCCCCATTCGGTGCATGTGGAAATTGTGCCCTTTATCTATGGTGAGAATCGCGCCACAAATTCTGATCGCTATCTTTATTGTCGTGTTTTTTTTGCAGACTGTTTCCAGGAAGAGGAGCTTGTCCGACACCCAGACATAGGGGAGAGTCTACTAAACATATTGGGCGCTGTGATATGCGGCTCACAGGTATCGCCCGAGGGTTTCCGTGTTCAATGATTAACGTCTCACTCCTTAGACATAGACAGCTTCTATATGCTCCTCCTATTTCTATGCGCACCAAAATCTTTTTCACTCTTCCTAAATGTCATTTCGTTCCTTAGAGTTTTATCATTTCGTTTTCATGTTTTTCTTCATTGTTTTTTCGTGTTTTGCTGATGCGGTTGGGCCGACCACCCCAACTGCAGCAGCAGCAATCAAAATTGTAAGCGTTTAAACACAAATTTACAGAAAACTCTAAACTTGAACTCGATCTCAACCTCGAACTCAACCTCGACTCTGACAAATAGAAATACTAACGCTCTAACAACACCTTCTTCACTTGCCCCCTGCTCGGGTGATGGGCTGCTTGTAAACTGTGATAACTTGGTGAGTGGGTTCTTCAACCATCTATTATCCTGTTGCCATGTCCTGTCATGTCATGTAGTCATGTGTTCTCATGTTCCCTGTGCCCTGTCCTGTACTGTTCGATTAATCAAATCCCTAATGTTGCATTGGTTTGTTAGCGCAATGGCATGAAAGCCATTTGCCCGGCCACAGTCTCCATCACCATGGGCATACTGCGGCAGTGGGAGAGCGGCAACAGCTTGCGTCGTGTGGCACTCAATTGTTATGCTTTAATGGTAATTGTTTTGCAAAAATCTAGTCCGGAAGAAGTGAGTATCTTTACTGGTATCTATCCTGCTCCACAGCTAATACATTTATACATTTTCCAGCGCCAAATAGATCTAGTTACGTTAGTTCAACTCTATTGTGATGCTCTGCAAGAGCTGCTGGCCACCAAGCACTTTGACAGCGGCGATATTAACTTTGATATAGCCAGCGATGCCGATCAGGATGTGGCCATCGATATGGCCGCCCTCTCCGAGACTGTGGCAGCCGTGAAACTATTTCTGAACGGCGGTGAGGACATCAGTGAGGCGATTGGCGAGACAAATCTACTGGAACTGCTCACCAATCTGCCAAAGAGCATTATGGTATAAGATTCATTCAGCTCCAGTTCATGCATAAATTCTAATTAAGTGATTTTATTTTAGCCCTGGCATATCGCTCACTCGAATTCATTGTGCAGCACCATGGAGGCTTTGGCCACGCTGACACGACACTCCCTGCCATCCGCCAATCAGCTGCGGCAAGCAGAGCGCATCGAGAAGCTTTTCGGCAGCTTGCGGGAGTTCGATACGGGCCCTTCTGTGGCCCTACTGGAGACCTGCTTCATGCTGGGCTACAACGAGAGCGATCACCTGCTTTTGCTGCCAGAAGTGATGCTGCAGCTGCTCCACTGGCTGCCCACACTCCAAGAGCGGGAACAGTTGCATGTCACCAATTTGGTGCTCAAAGGCTGCACCGATAACTACGGCACGTGAGTAGATATACAGATCAATGCCAACGACAAGTTTCTATCCCTCAATCTATGTCTTGACAGCAAATCTGTGGCCTGTGACAGTCGCGTCATCAAGGCTGTGTGCGGCTGTCTGTTGCAATCGGATTCCCTGGCCGAGAACTGTGTTCAAAATCTGATCAAACTGATTGAGGAGCTGAGCAAGATCAGCATTGTGCCCGGGGAGTTAAAGTGCATCTTCACACTGCTGCGGGAGGGGACAAAGTTTTCACAAAGCAGACAGCTTCAGCAGGTAAGTGGCAGGTTCAAGACGAATCTTTATATCCACCCTTACTGAATGCTCCTTCCCTTCTTGCAGACACTCGTTGTGATTGCGCTGCAGAGTCTGCGGAACAGCAACTCCTGTGCCCAGTACTTTGCCATTGAGCAGCCATCGGATGGGATCGTGGTGCCAGACATTAGAAATTGGACCATCTCTGGCTCCTATGGCTTCATCTTTCACATTCTGGTGCGCTTCAGCCAGGCCAAAGACCAGTCGGCGGGTGGGAGTTATCGTCGAATGCTGCTCACCCTGCAGACGTGCAGCGGCAGTGGCTTTGAGGTGTTTGTCCAGCCGAATGGAAATGTTGTGGTGGCTGCTTTGACCAGACGGGAGTACCTCACCTCGTCAACGGCCACCAAGACGCTGATGGATGGACAGTGGCACTACCTTACCGTGGCCATAACGCCGCCCAAGCGACCCTTCTCCTACAGTCAGATAAACATCTATGTGGACTTTGTCCAGAAGCTGAGTGCCACGCTCAAGGTGCAGGCCGTTAATGAGCCTTTCACTGTGTGCTCCATTGGTGCCGTGGTGGCGCCGCCTCAGCCTGGGGAAATGGTCAAAACAGGCAACATGCCTAGGTCTTCCTCTCAGGAGAGTGGCTCCAGCGGTTACAAGAGCATGCTGCCCAGTCTACTCGAGCGCACGCTCTCGGCAAATGTAAGCAAATCGAAGTAGTGATAACTGTTTCCATCAGCTTATAATCTCTGATTGTTTTTTTGACAGGTTTCCAATTACTTTACGCTCCCCACGATGCGCACACAAACGGCCTTTGATCCGAATGTAAAGAACTTTCCCATCGGAATGCAGGACACGGTGTTCGGGGAGCCGACCTGCCTGCAGGGGCATCTCGGTGGAGTGCTGCTGGCCGATCCGACCACCAGTCTGAGGACCATCTTCGATGCGGGCATGAATTTCAGTTCGATTTTCTCGCAGGACAACGATCTGCTAGAGTTAAACTCGCGCTTTGTGTTCTGCTATGCACCTGCTGCCGTGTGGCATGGTAGCTGCCAGGATCTAATTCCGGGCGGCAAATATCCAGGCAGGATTAGCGCCCAACACTGCAAGATTGTAAAGATTCAGGAGACGATCAACAGCATCGGAGGCATCAGTGCTATTCTGCCCATTCTGCATCGGCTGGTGAGCACGGATCAGGCAGCGGATGTCTCTATAGCCAACAGCGAGGAGGAATCGCTGTCGTCGCCCACACCCACAGCCGAGGAACTGGGAACGGACTGGGAGATGCTCTCGTCGAACTCCTACACGGAGTGGAAGATGATCCAGCATCCGTTGGCGAGCTTCCTCTGCCTGCTGCGCTACCTCACGCACGAGCATGAGACGAACCAGGAGCAGCTGCTGGCCAGCGAGTGCCTGGCCATAATTGGAACCATGCTGCAGCGGTGTCCGCCCGCTCTGTTCGACGTCAACGCCCTCATGGCCACACACCTGCTCATGGAGTCGCTGCAGGGCCACAAATCAGGCACCGATGCTGGGGGACAGCTCCTGGACAGCCTCTACGCTCACATTGTCTTTGATTTTGGCATCTGGTCGCGGCTGCAGTTCCAGATTACGCTCGGCCATGCGCAGTACCTCAGTGCCATGATCAAGAACGATCGCAAATTCTATCGCCGGCATTATGGCGTCCAGTTTGTGCTGGATGTGGTGAGGCAGTACTACTCGACGCCGGACAACATCAGCAACGACGATGCCAAGACCATACGCGCCACACTCTTCGGCATCGTGCGGTTCTATCTGCAGAAGGAAGTGAACATCAAGGAGGTGAATGCCATGGTCACATTCCTGGCTTCGGTGCGGCAGGATGTGGTGCTGGTCGAGTTCCTCGAAATGCTCACCTTGTATATGCGCGGCAAGAACTGTCGCGATCAGATGGTGCTGCTCCTCCACGAGCCACAGTCGGCCAATCTCATCTACAACTTTTTCGTGGACAAGAGCTACACGAATGAGATTCAAGAGGCAGCGATACGGGTAAGCAATCTTTGATCTTTCCTCGATTGAATCCACTCTTAATCCGCTTATCTCGCTGCAGTTTATCAGCGGTCTCTTGGCCACTTCGCGGGTGCATCAGAAGTACAAGCAGGTGCTGCGTTTGTACGATCAAAGCACCGAGCAGAGCATGTTCCCTGGTTTCTTCTCCTTCATCACGCCCATGTCACTGAGCTCCACGATACTCTTCCATCTGGCAGACGAAATGCTGGGCCTGCAGCCGGACTATGCCGGTCTCATCTTCCTCGTGTATCATGTGAGCAGCTGCGAGCTGCCCGTGAAGCTGGAAATAGCCAAGCGGCTGCTGCAGACCACCTTTGTTAAGCCCAATGCCACGGCGGCTATGGCCAGGCAGACGGGCTGGCAGGAGTCGATTGCCCGACTGCTCATACGCAAGCCACTCACCAGCTCCGCGCCAGATGAGGAGAAACGTCGCAGCTTTGGCATCAACATGGATGTGCTGCTCGAGGACAACTCGAGCTTTCTGGCCCAGGCCGATCTAATTACGTTCTCCGAGCAGGAGATCGGACTGGCGCAGGTGCAGAGTCAGCAGCAGCAGGAGGAGCAGAGTGACAGTGGGTTGATCCTGAACGAGATACAGGCCAGCGTCTCCGAGGCGGCAACCGTGATCGAGAGTGAAATCAAGGGTGTGTGAAAATTTGTTTCATCTTGAAAGATTCTCAACTGATTCTTTGTCTTTTTCAGAGCTTGCGGAGTCCGTGTCCGGGGCTGTGGTGGAGAATGTTAACAGCGTATTCTCCGTCATACGACAGACCACACATGACCTGCAGGACACCTTCGAATCGCTGACACTAGGCAACACCACGGATGCCACAGATGGCTCGCAGACACCCGCCACTCAGCGTGAAGAATCTCTGAGCTCCGACAGTTCCACACCCTCGCCGCATGGTCCGCCCAAGAAGAGTGACTCTCTGGAGGTAGGTCTAACTAATTCCACACAAAATGTTCATCTCTAACGATTAAAATCTTCCGCAGAGCACTTCGGCGTTTGACTTTGTGGCCGATGGGGATGTTGACACGGAGGAGCAGTTGGTTTATCTTGTCTCCAATACGCTGTTCAACATCTTCTGGCGCGGCATAGCCAACGATCATCCGCATTGCTGGCAGGAGCGTGGCCAGGTTCTCGGGTGCATCAATCTGCTGGCCCTGAACAATGAGCTGATCACCTCGCACCTCTCGCTGCGCCTGCGCATCCTCGAGATGGCAGTCCAGGCATCGCTTTTTGACCTATCCGAGCATGGCAGTCAAACGCTGATTAATCAGGAGAATGCCTCGCACATCCTGCGCATGGTCTACGAGCTGGTGGTGCTCGGCTCCAACGAGGACGAGTCCAAGAAGTGCTCCACCAAGCTGCTGGACGGCGTGCTGGCCTTACTGGATGCTTTGATGATCTTCCAGCAGGGCTCCTCTGACGATTGGTCCGACATGATTCGCTTGTGTCTGGGCTTGCTGCTGAAATGTTCGCATCATCCGAATCCGGGCATTGTAGCTATGGCCACTGCCAAACTTCATGCAATACTTCAAAGTCGTTCCACAGAGGATCCCGCTGAGCTATCGTATCTGCTCTACAGCATCAATAGGGCGCTGGATAATGCCATTGAAGGTGGGTTTCGATTAGTTTCGATTGTGATTATGCAGAGTAATATTAAAACCTTTCTTTTAGTGGGAAATCCTGAGGAGTATTCATTCCTAATGCCTGTGATGAAAGCCTTGCTGGAAAAGTGTCGCTCGGCCTTCAATTTGGACTCCACACTACCAGATCTGCCCTCGACCTCGTCGGGACCCGTTTTCTTCAATGACTTTCAAATGTACAGCACCAGCAAAAAGTGGCGAAACTTTATTGAACGAATGGTGAGTGAATTTTACTCTCAATTGGGGAATCTCTCTATGATCCAATCCATAAAATTCGCACTTCAAACTATCCCTAGATGATATTTTATTGATTTATTTTCCTTAAACTAAATCTTTAAGTCTAGAATCTAAGTCTAAAAGTTTAGCAAGTCTTCAGGCTTTTGCCTACTACGGTTTCCGCAGATTCCTCTTAAGATTTAATATAGTTTGTGGTTTTTTGGCAAGTTCTGGCGGAGCACATGGATGTTCCGATTCCTCTCCATCTCCCTGTCACTGTGCGGACTCTTAAATAGCGTCGTATCGAAGACGCCTTTCGTGGTCCGCTGGTTGGCTAATGCCGGCTGTAGTGCTGCGAAGGAGGCTGGTCTGGTGGGTCGTGTTCCACGCCCTCCATAAGTGGAGAACTGCTGGTGTGTGGGCGGTGAAATGGTGCCATCATAGTAGCTCTTCGAATGTGACTTCTCAATGGTGACGCTGGTGGAGATGGGCTCGGGTGTCTGACTCGGAATGGAGGCAGTTTGCGTGGATCGATAGCGTGAGGAGCCGCGATTCCTGCCGCGTGTATGTGTGGTGGTACGTGTGGCTGGCGTGCTTGTCACTATTGTAGGTATAAAGGGAGTGCTGGAAGCGGTACGCAATCGCAGCATCGGACTCCATGGTGATGGTGTGGTTGTCGTAGATGTTGTGGGTGTCACAAAGTTTACAAATGTTTGCTTCCGCTCCACATAGTGGGAACCATTTGCATCGGCATCGGCATCAGCTTGATCTTCCCTTATATGTCGATCCGAATCGTAGGCCTGCTGCAGTTCTGGCACATCCAGAGTGTGCTTGTTGGGCACTCGTTTGCGCTTGCGTCGCTTGGTCGAGCTCTTCGAGCTGCCCGCCGCATGGGCATCCTCCTCGGCAATGTCGTTGGGCACTGGAATGGGCGAATTCTCCGAGAGTATGGGTGGATAGGACTCCTGCTGCTCCTCCTTGGTGGATGCCTCGAAGGGTATGGGATCGTAGATGGGCACCTCGTAGCTGGACTTGGGGAAATCAAAGCTGGGAAATTTGTGGTGTGTGTTCAGAGGCAGCTCCTGCGAGGGCGGCGAATAGTCCTCGGGCGGATAACCCTGGCTGGGATGGTTGGGTTGTGGTTCAGGCTGCGCGTAGCTATTCGAGGGATAATCGAAGGAAGGAGGATGCTGGGGCGGTTGCGCATAATCGGAGGAGGGAGGATGCTGTGGCGGCTGGTTGTAGCTGTTTGGTGAATGTTGCTCATAGCTGGGAGGACGATGCTGTGGGGGCTCTACATAGCTAGAAGAGGGATGCTCTACATAGCTGGAGGAGGGATGCTCTGGAGGCTCTACATATCCAGAGGAGGGATGCTCTGGGGGTTGTGCGTAGCTGTTGGGCGGATGCTGCTGCACTGGAGGCTCGGCAAAGCTGCCCTCGTGCGGTTGGTGGGGCGGAATGTAGCTCTCGTGGTGGTTGGACTGGTAGGAGGTGCTGATCTCAAACGCAGGCGGAGAGTAGGCAATCTCAAAGTCGGAACTGTGGACAGGTTGTGGCTTTTGTTTCTGCTTTGGAGGCTCGGCAAAGTGCTGATGGTAGCCAACGTTGGGAATCTTTTGCTCGTAAATGGAATAGGAGTCGGGATGAGCGGCAGCGGGAGCGGGGGGATGTTTTGGATACTTGGAAGAATGCGTAAAGCTGGGCGGCAGGTGGACGGGCACCGGGGCCGGAGCAGTGGGTATGCCATAGCGTGTGGAGGGCGGCTTGGGAGGTGGTGGTGGCTCGTAGTGGGAAACGAAGGAGTGATCTGCTGGCTGATAGCTCTGCTGCAGTGGTGGCACTCCGTACTTCTGGTGGGGCACATGATCGAAGGCAGAGCTGGAGGAAATGTGCGGCGAATCCAGACTAAAGTCGAGACTGGGGAACTTGTGGGCTCCGTACAGATCCGGCACTGGCTCCGGCTCAGGATCGTGGCTGTAGAAGTCGAGATCCATGGACTGTGCCTCGTAGCTGGAGGTGGGCAGCTTGAAGTCGCCGCCATCGAACTTTAGATGCTGGAAATCATCAATGGAGAAGTTCGGCTCCTCGATGTGCGACGCTGGGAACGATGGCTTGTGGCGGTAGCCATGTCGGTATCCATGACCGGCAGGCGCCGGCGGCCCGTACTTCAGCTTCGATGGTGGTGGGCCCTTGGTGCGGCGTCGCTGCTTGGAGCGTTTGCCTGGTACCTTGATCACAGAGTAGGGCGGCTGGCGTCTATATCGGATGAGTTTCTCTGCCGTAGGCACCGGCTCCGAGCCAATCTTCGTGTTCGTCTCCGTCTGGTGGCTACTCAAATGTGTAGCGTTGGTTTCGCTCAGGGCGAAGGGCAGCCACACTGACAGCTGTAATGAAAGATCAGAGAGCAAGGGGAAATGGTTAATCTTCCGCAAAAATGTCATCAGTCGAATGAGCATCAAACTTTCTCCCCCTTAAATGTTGTCATCTGTCTGCTGAATGTGTGTAACCTTTGACTTTCCACCAGACCCAGACCCAGACCCTCTACACTGCCCCCTCTGCTGTCTGCCGTCACTCCACTCTATATGTGATGACTGTGGCTTCCGCCTCACTGGTTGCCTGCCTTTGCCTTCCTACGTAATAAAGCCATGTGCCATAAGCAGCACCTTCGCGCGCGTTGCAGTTGCAGTGGCAATCGAGTCACGAGTCTCAGGTCTGCCCAGGCAGGCTCCTCGTAATTGTTTGCATCGATCGATGTCGCTGTTGCCGGCTGGTTGCATGCCTGCCGCCTGCTGCTGGCATGCATTGATGATCTCACGCAATCCAACCTGGAGGAGCCAAGTGAAAGAGAGGGGATCTCAGGCAGCGGGCCGCAGGGAGCTGGTAGCTGGTAGCTGGTAGCTGGAAGGAGCTTTAAGCAGTGAATCATTGAACCTGAACGCTGGCCCAGGTTCAGTTTTTCAGCTTTAGCTTCAGGTGTGCGGGAATCCACTTTTGACGCTGTTTGTTTTGCTCTTGCTTTGGACTGTGGACTGGGGAGTGTGGAGTGCCTGCAACTGGAGTCTAGGAAACCTGCGGGACATGTCTTTGGCCATGGCTTGACAAAGGCTCAATGCACCTTGGAGTATGTGCACGGCATTTAAATGCAAATTTTAAAATATTATACGGGAAATATTTTGGGCTTCCTTTAAACTTGGTTCACATAAGAGTAGTTGCAGGTTTTAGAAAGTGATATTTGTTTAATTATTCTTTGGAACTGATTCGTAGAGGATCCAAAGGGCCCTCCTTTCAAACCCTACATTTTTTTGGATTCAGCCGAGGAAAAGTTATAAAAGCGCGAGAATTAAACTAGATTTTTGTGGTATTTGGTACGATATTGTAGACTCAACCCACTAGATTTGTTAAATATTATTTGAAACAGGAGGTGTACAACTCTGAAGCTGTGAACTACGAGGGTACCATCAATCTTGTTAGATTCGAAGACATTCCACAAACTCTAGTTTAAATTACTAACAAAACTTTTCTAAAGATTAAATTGTATTTGGTACTTTTTCACTGTAGGAAAGTATAAATCCTTCACAAGAAGTCTCAAAAAGTAAACAAATAATCATAGTTCTAGGGACTCTTCCAATGGTTTATCACTCAATAGTTTAAACTGTAGAAATATCTCTTCGGTATCTCTGTGTTTGCCTCCACAACATTTATGTGCTCGTAAATGATAAAGTCACTTCTTATTTAATCGCTTACAAAACAGGCAGTAAGCCACAACAAATTGCACATTTTAAAGCGGTAGCGACAAAGTGGCAACTAAACTTTAGACGCATCAAAAATTAAACAAAAACAAATTTCAAAATCGACGCAAACATCCACGAAACTTTCATTGGGCTGTGAATCCGAGTTTTAGTTTGAAGTTTTGAGGCTTGAATCGTATTGGATTGGAGCTTTTCCTCGCTGCTGACTCGCCGCACGACTAGTCGGACTTTCTTTCGGCAACTGAGCTGAGAGCCAAGAAAGTGGTCTGGTTTTGTGGCTCGAAGAGGCGCAGCTGGAACCAGTCGTATGACAAAGCAGCAGAGACCACCGACTACCGACTACGATGCACCCACCTGGGGCAGAGATTTTACCAGAAACATTTGAATCGTCTTTGCCTCTGCCGACTGTTTCGGCTGTTTGCTGCCCAGTGCCCTGGAACGATTGCCGACAGGGGGTGCGCAAAGATTATGCAAAAGAATCACCACCTATGGCGCTTCCATTCTCCACACGAATGCGGATGCCTGCCCGTAGATCTCCCCATAGATAAATCCCCCAATTTAGTGTATGTTTTTTGAGAGATCGAAGATCGAGTTAAACTTGTTTCCCCAAACCGAAATCGAGCTCTTCCTGTGGCCACTTCATGCTCCATGCTCCATCCTCCATGCAGATTGAACTTGAACCTGAACGGACGTGACTTTGAATTTGACTGGAGTGGAGTGGAGTTGGATGCAGATGCAGATCGAGAGACTCGGATTCGGGTGCGAACTAGTCTGGTGTGGAACACGCACGAAGATCGCTTCGATTCGCATCGAATGAAAGCGAAATCAAATCCGAACCGATCGTAGCCTGGCTGTCAATCTCGATCAATGTCCATTCATGGTGGATTCATTCATTCATTCGTCTGGCACTTTCAGGTAAAACCGCTTTACGATCGCTACCAGCGCGACATCGAGCTGCATCTGTGGGAGCCCATCAATCGCTTCTGGGCAGAGTGCTACGAGGCCTGCAAGGCCGCATCCAAGCAGCGTGCCACCTACCAGACAGACAACCGACGGCTCTTCCAGCAAAAGATCTACATGCCGTGGAAGGTGCGGCAGGTGGAGGAAATGCAGCGCCTACAGGCAGCGGCCCTGCACCACAAAACGCTCGACAGCCACATACGGAAGCGATGGAAGAGGGCCAAGCGTTTCTTGTACGGCCCACGAGGCCCCTGGTATACCGGGTGAGTCTCTTCAAGCTTAAAAAATCCACCCATTTGTCTATCTGTACCCGCACACTCACTCCCTATATAATCCATTTTAATGCCATCATTATGAAATGACGCGAAATGCAGCATTTTAATTGCATTGCGCGCCTAGCGACAATTGTAATCGAGCGTGCCAACGTCTTTGGTTACATATAATTATTATTTTCAACGTTTATATGTATGTATAATATAGGTATACTCTAACACATAGACGCATTCACGCTTTTGTCTTAATTTCACTTTGAAATGCAAACAAATCCGTCTCAATTGTCAGCAGCAGAGACAGAGACAGAGTCCCCCAATGATCATCAACACTCTCGGCAGGTGGTAGCCGGCAATACGTTTAGTGGGTTGCCGAAACAATGGGTGAAATCTATTAAAACTATGACACAAATCCACGCTAAACCGATAAACTGTTATGTAGGTTTGAGGCTTGAGCCGAAAATCGTATTAAAAATTAATTTAAATGCATAAATATTCGCCAGAGATAATCATTTAAAGAGCGGAGCCCAAACCTTGATAGCTCACACTAGAAGTCGAAGATTATGCCTGCAGAATTCTTAAACTAGATTAACCTTAAAGTTGAAGCTGCTTCTTTGAACTATTTGAAATTATTCAGAATTATTATCCCAATAATTATAATCTTTCTCCCTTGTGATTCTTTTCTCTTAAATTTTTGCCTACTTTTACACAGTTTTATGTCCATTGTTGGCATATTTTTACCGCTGCACCTCGCGCCTGTCTATTGTCTTACACTTTCGCCCATTCCTCCGCCTCTAGCGCTGGCGCTGGCTCTGACTGTGGCTGTGGCTGTGGCTCTGCCTCGATCGCCTTCAGCGCCCATGCCGTGCGCTGCGATTAACATTTTAATTTAATTTTATTAAATCATCAACGGTTTTAAATGTCGAATGCAACAAAGGCCCGTCCCATTATGCAACTGCAAATGTAACGAAAATCCATTATGCGATCCATACATTATTAAAGCAAAACAAATATGCACATCGCTGTCTGATTAGGTGCGGAGTTCCATGCTGCCCATGCCCCATGCTACATGCAGATTAGATCCGATATGCAATAAACCAGCGTGTAATTGGAGGTCAGTTCTAGCATAGATCCGTGATCGATGTTCGGGCTTATCCCATCCATTCAATTAGAGAACGCAACGCAGGCGAGCCAAATGCCAAATGGCAATCAAAATTCAAGTTTTGCATTGTGGCCGGCTGCCAATTACTCGATCCGATCGATTGCCAATCGCAGAGTTCTCTGAGCCCATAAATCTCACTTTAGACCACTTTGCATTGACGAATGAATTACGCAGTTCGATCCAACGATTAAGATGGTGTGGTGAGGGGGGTTGTGTTCTTTCTGAGTGCGTGGCTCGGACCTTGAGCGATTCACTTGCGTTGCAGCAGCAGCAGCCGGACCAGAGACCTGCTCTAAGGTCGCCGCACGCTCACGGGCAAATGCAAAAACCAGCTTCAGCAGCAGCATTCGTTGCATTAAATCGTTCCAAATCAAAGCTTGGACGCCGCTGACTCCACGCCGATTACACGGATTAGTGTTTAGTGAGGCAATTACCCGAGCTATAATTTGTGTAGATCCGTCTATTATTAATGAAAGTACTTAGCCTCTGCTGATCCCAACTAGTAAGTGGTTTAGCTTTGAGGATTCCTCAAGATTAGAGTACTTAAAGTTTAGCTTCTGTTTCATGACGCTGCCAGCAGTTTAGAGCCACTAAGAATTCTTATCTGTAAATCTCGAGGGGGGAGCATCAATGTGTTGATTGTTTTTGCACTCTTCTCGGTCATTCTCTTTTGCACCATTGCAAGGGTCCAAAGTCCACAGCTAAAACTCTACCTTCGATGGGAACTCGAACTCTTTTAGGCTTTCCTTTTGCATTGCTCCGCTTCGATTTATTGCAATTCTAATCGTGGTTTCCCGTTTAAATAAGAACTGAATTAATAAGAACTTTCAATGATTGAATGTTTTTTGGGGGTTTATAGAGTGTGTTTTATCGCGGTCAAACAGCCTTAAGATTAAGAAGACAAGAAACATAAATGAAAGGTCTCGAGAATGTGTGTGAGTGTAGATGAGGGGGAACGCCGGATCCGAAGCCGGAATCTGATATCTGTTATCCTGGAATCCTGATCCGTGCGCCGGTGAATTCGTATGTACATATTTCGATATATCGCTTTCATTTCAACTAATACTACAACTATCGACTACGATCGGGCCGTGACCCCATGGGGCCACGTGGAGGAGAAGTTTGTCGCGATGTGTCCGTTTGCGGGGGTTCGGCTAGGGGTCGGCAAGTGTTGTCGGCTGATCGTTTCGTTGACTTAGTGATAGCCCAGGGGCGACAGAGCGGGCAGAGCCAGCTTGGGCAATGCCGGGCCATAGGCAGGACCCAGAGCATGGCCGTAAGCGGGAGCCAGAGCTGGACCGTAGGCGGGACCCAGAGCATGACCGTAAGCAGGGGCCAGAGCTGGTCCGTAGGCGGGCAACTTGGCCACCAGGGGAGCGGCGTGCAGGAGCGGTGCCGGTGCCAGGACCTTGGCCACGGGTGCCACAGCCTTCACCACAGCGCCCTCGCGATGGACAACGGCATTGAATCCGTGGACGGGATCAGCGGTGTACTCCACAATGCGACGGGTGCCGTCGGCCTCGATGAGCGAGTAGGCGCCTTGGACCACATCGCCGCTGCGGGACTCCTGCTGGCTCTTCACATCGCCAGTCGATTGATCCTGGAAAGCAGAAAGAACAGCGCGGATTAGGACCACAAAGGGATCACCTACGGGTGGCCAAAACTCACATGAACATCGTAGCTGAAGCTGTACTGGGGATTGGGATCGTATGGCTCCGGAGCAGCGACTTTGGCAATGCCCACCTTGGCCAGGGCAGGGTACACTGGAGCCGCCAGCTTGGGCAGCAGTGCCGGCCCGCCCAGTCCAGGATACGAGGGATACGCTGGGTAGCCGAGGCCAGGACCCGGCACCACAACGGCCATGGCAGCGGCCACCAGGGCGCTCAATACAAGGATCACCTTTTGTGCCATTCTTTTTGGGGTTTTGTAGAATTGCTGGAAGCTGGAAGCTGGATTGCTTGATGCTGGATGCTGGAGTGCTGCTGCTGCTTGGCTGACAAATGAATTCACTCTGTGGTTCTGTAGCCGCTCGACAATTGCTTTTTATAGGCCTACCAGAGACACGAGAGACTCAGACACTCAGATTGAGGCCCGGACCCAGACCCAAGCCCAAAATATCCACAAGCAAATCTGCCACAAAATGCAGGGGCAGCCGCGGCAGCAGCAGGGGCAGCAACAGCAGCGGTCGCCGCCTGCAACAAATATTTATGCAAAAAGCGCAGAAAAACAACTAAAAAGTGCGCACGGCGCATGCGTGCCTCAGCCTGCAGCCCCATGCGCCATGCGCCATGCGCCATGCCCCGTGCCCCAAGCCTCTCTGTCTATGAGAAATATTTGGATCGATCGTTGGATCATAGTCGCAAAGCCCAACACGCGGCGACAAATATAAAATAATTCATTTTTGCGCTGCCCCCAGCTGCTGGGAGGGAGGAGGATCAGGAGACGGTGATCGGTCGGTCACCAGCGTTCACGCATGTCTGGGCGGGAGGACGGTGCTGGACAGCGCCCAAAACTGGCTCTGATGGTGTCTCCTGCTGCTGCGGCTGCTGCTACTCTGCGTCGTGACAAAAAAGTTCAATTCGAAAGCAATCGCTTTTGGGGCGGTGGCCGTTTGGCCCGGCAACCGGGTGGCCGGACGACATCAGGTGTGTGTGTGGCGTGGCCATAAGATTGGGGCAACGCAGTGCAGCAGAGCGACACACGCACCCAGCCAGCAGTGAGCAGTGAGCAGTCGGCAGTCGATTGTTGAAAGGTGTGTTGCACTTACGGCAGCGCCCGCAGCCTTCGAAACTGGCACAGACGCTGCTGCTGCTGCTGCTGCTGCGCCGCGCCCACCAAAAATCCCACCGCCAGCCAGACTGCCAGACTGCCCCACACTCCACACAACAGCAGCAGCAACAATTTTGTTTGTGTTCTGTGTACACGTACTTCTCCATGTTTTTCTCTTTTGCCATTGGGACAATTTTGCCCATTATCACTAATTTTCAACGCGCTCAGCGGCGTGGCTTGTTAGGCGTCGCAGTCTCAGTCTCAGTCGCAGTCGCAGTCGACGCTGACCGCAAACATCGCTATGGACATGGTCGGGCTTGCGTAATCCAAAATTGCATCTCGAGCCGATTTGTATACCCTTCAAGAGAGTCAAATATTTAGCTTGGATTCTCGTATTCAGAACTAAGAATTGTCATGTGACACTACCATCCTCAGGAATGATCAGTTGATTCTCTCGTTGTGAATGATAAGAAGCTAAATTAAGTGTAAAAGAGCTCTACAAATACCATTGGGTATTGGGAGCATGGGTAATCCCCAGACGAACCAAAGCGGCCCACAGACTTACCAGACTCTCAAGCAGCGACTATAAAAAGCAGCGCCTTTGAAAGCGTATATAAATGTCGTTGAAACCCACCACCGGGCTTAGTTACGTAGTGTGCGAATGGCTTTCATGCATTTTGCACTTTCAATTAAACTATTGAATAATTTGAGTGCGTGTCGAGCGGGCGAGTGAATGTATTTCGAATGTTGGAAGAGTTCTTTTGGGTGTGTGTTTCTGTGTGGAAGCACACGGCCAGCGGATTAGACCCAAAGTTTCGTTGCTCCCCCATTTTTGTGTGTGGCTCAGCTTTCGATCTTTCATTTTCTGTTGCGTGGGAATTTATTATAATAACATAAATTGAGAGAGGTGTCCCCATAGATATTGGATTCATGGATTAAATCTAAATATATTATGGCAAAATGAGTAACAGACTACCTTGGGTCTAGCTCATTGATTAAATTACCATACATTCTCGTAAATAAACTAGAACTTGAGTATTGTTTTGGTAATTAAAACCGTTTTGTTCGTGAGATGAATACCTAAGGAAAACAAGCAATTTCTAGTAGAACTTTAGCGACAGATATTTAATATTAAATAGCAACATATTCTCTTTGGCTTACAAAGTTGTTGTGTGATTTATCGGAACTATGGAACAGACAATAATTTAAGATAAAATCTAGTGATCCCAGCATAAGCTACGGGAAGATCTCTCTAACCCAGCAGCGGAGCTGCCAAGGGAGCGGCCACCACAGGGCGTGGCACTGGACCTCGCTGCACCACCGCATTGAAGCCATTGATGGGGTCGGCGGTGTAGAAGACAGTGCGCAGGGAGCCATCGGCATCGACTACCGAGTAGGAGCCCTTGACCACATCGCCGTCGCGTACTTCCTGCTGGCTCTTGCTGTCGCCGGTAATGGCATCCTGCACATTGTAGGCGAAGGCGTACTGCGGATGGGGATCCACCTCAGTGTTGATTGGAACTCCCAAGGGAACAGCACCCGGCAGAAGGGCACATTCAATGGCGGCAAACAGGGCGCAGCAGATGAGGGTAATCTAAGCAAGAGAACCAGGATAAGCAGGGGTTATCCACTTCTTGTGGTTGCGATTTAAGCTTGAACTCACCTTGAACAGGGCCATGGCTATACTTGCTGCTGATTTTCTTTGATTGGTTCGGTGTGGTGAAGGCTTGACAACGCTGCCTGTACTGTGGCTGGGTGCCCATGGATCGTGGTTTTAAAGGGCCACAGGCTGCCCTCTCCTCTGCGATGCCGTGCGTCGTGTGGCAACCGTTGCCAAAAACTTAACCCACTGACGTAAGGCCCACGATGTCTGGAATGGTGCGTCGTGAGGTTTCCCCACAAATAGAAGACGTGCCAGCAAATCCGACCCAACTTGCACAATGCTGCCTGCCGCATAGGTTAACGTTTCTTCTTTCGCCTCTTCCAATATGAATTGTGATAATTGTGGGCACTACGTGATTGGCATTCGATAGTCTGCCAGACCTATCCTAATACCCAGCCAGGGTATTGGGTGGAATGAAATGAATGGTTTTTTTTGTACCGAAACTTTTATTCAGTAAATGCAGAAACTAGTTCAATAATTAATTGGCGAATAGCCGGTTCCCCAGATTCCCAGAAAGGGTATCCCCTATATGTACATTTATGTAGTCTGTGGTGTCGAGTGATCAACGATCAGTAGGGTGATCAGTGATCAGCAGCTTCAGAATCGGAATCGGAATCGGGACCGGGAAGTGGGTCAACAGCACGCACGTTCTTGGGGGTTTCTTTTGCCCGTTAGAGCGGTAGACAGGGAGTTTAGATAGTGGAAAAGATAGTGGGGGGGGGCTAATTGGTGTATTAGAACTACTTAACAACAGGTCCTGGGCCCAGAGGGTGGCAGAGAGTTCGTCATGCTCCTTGGCAAGGTGCTACATTTGGTGCTCCCGCTCCTAGTAGTGTCCGCCCAGGCTGAGGCCGGGACCAGAGGCGTATCCAATCTTGGTGAGGGTCGGTACGGCGGCAACGGCCACCACGGGCTTGGCAATCGCCACGCCCTTCTTCTCGACGACCGCATTGAAGCCGTTAACCTTGTCGGCGGTGTAGGTGACCTTGCGAATGGTGCCATCGGGCTCGGCCAGGGAGTAGCTGCCATGGACCACACCATTGACGAGCGTCTCCTCCTGCTGCTTGGAGTCGCCGGTCTTGTGATCTGTCACGCCGTACGAGAAGCTGTACTGCGGATTGGGATCGTAGGGCTCGGCCACAGCCACCTTGGCCACGGCCACGGGAGCAGCCAGCAGCTTGGGCGCGGCATACGAGATGGCTGGAGCCGCATACGAGATGGCTGGGGCGGCCAGCAGTTTGGGTGCAGCATACGAGATGGCAGGAGCGGCATACGACAGGGACGGAGCTCCGTACGAGATGGAGGAGCCATAGGGATCGATGGGAATGGCCACTGCGACTGACAGGACGAGGCCAAGAACGAACGATGTCTGCGGGAAAGGGAATCAGTGGAATTGTCTTGGGTCTGAGCAGATCCTGGGAGGCTTACCTGGGCGAACATTGTGAAGGATGTGTGAGCGTGTGCGGTTATGTGGTTGCTGCTGCTACTGCTGCTAGGAGCTGCTTGTGTCTGCTCTGCAAGAACTCAGATCGAGTGTGAGATGCATTTTCCTCGATCTCTTCAGTTTTATATTCGACTCGGGCCACTGGTCACTGGTCACTGGCCTGCGTCTCCGTCCGCTGCTCCATCTCCTCCTGCACACACTCGAAACTGGACAATCTAATGGGCAGAGTGACAATTGCGTCTCATTTGGTGGCTGCATTTGCTCAGATCTGGATCTCGATCTCGATCTTGCACCCCAAACCTCATCTCTTTGTGTGATCGTTGGCTATTTCGTGTTTCTGGTGCGGATTTCATCATGACTCTGCTCCAACATTTTCTCAATGGAATAGCTATGGCTCCCAGCCAGCAGCACACCACTCACTCACTGTCCACCGATAGACCCAACCAGATCAGGCCATAACCATAATGTCTGTTCAAGAGCGCCGCTCTAGCTCTCAAATCTGAGCACTCTGAGCGATCGGGGAGACTCGTTTTCCGCTGCCCAATCTGGTTTCGTTTTTCGGTTTGGTTTTTTCGGCGAATTCTCAGTGAATTCTCCAAGCGAGCCGCCTAGGCCTCAGCCTATGCCAGAGCCTAAGCCTTACTTTTTCTGATGTAATAGCTGCCGCATATTGAGGCAGTTGCAGGTTGCAAACGGATAAAACAAGATCATTCATAGCGGTCCACTCGTTTAATTAGAAATCGAAAATGGAAAATGGAAGAACTTCGACGATGGAGCAATTACGCACTCGCTCGCGTATCCACCCGTTGCCGAAAATGTATCTCCAGCTAAATAATGCCATTATAGAGGGTTAAAACGATAAAAGTACCCTTTACTGGGATTGGGAAGGCTCTAAAAAAACAAAAGAAATTACAACTTCATGAATTAATGAATGAACGTTCAATGTATTAGAACTGAAACTTGCTACATTTATGGTTAAAAAGATGTCTTTAGTCGAGGAGGCATAATTTCTATCTAAAATGAATGTTCTCTAGTCGGAGAGAACTCTCTACGCTCGTGTCCAACCAATCAGTACCGAAATCTATATGCGGAATGCCAATAATAGAATATAAATCACTCTCAATAACTCTGCTGATCCATAAGCATAACAAATAAAATATACCCAAATATGTAAGAGGTACACGCCAAGCCTATAGCAGCAAACACTCATTTGCACTCAAACGCACACGCGCCCACATGCCAGAGCCCAGAGCCTAGAGCTCTGAGCTGACGAAGCCACTTAGCCAGCGTAATTGCCTCGACCGGGGCAAAAAGCCAAGCTTCAGGCATTTTGGAAGCTTTAACCGCAGCGACCTTGCCCACAATTGGCAGCAGCAGCAGCAGCAGCAACGGCAACTGCTGGCTAGCTACTGGTAGATACTATTTCATCTACTTTTAATTAATTCTTATCTTGGACACTTTGCTCGGGGGACTTGAGATTGAGCAAGGAACTGCATTTATGGCAGTAGATTGCATTCCATTCGCTTTGGATGCCAATTTGGAGGGGTTTTAGCCTGGTTTCCGGTGGCAACAATCCACGCTGACAACCGTTAGCTGGGAGAGGAACATTGCAATGCGAATCTGCTGCTGACAAGTGGAGTCTCTCTCCCACTCTCTGTCTGTCGCTGAACACGCTCCGAAATGAATCCGGAGCCAACAAGTCGCAAGGTCGTTGGTTGCACTTAGCAAAAGAGTCACGCGCTCGGTGCCATCCACCAGTTACAGCATGAAATTGATGGAGAATCTTTAAGCAGTGGCTGAAACTGTGGCTATTGGGTATCCCAGTGGCAGAAATTGCAGCTACTAGATTAGAGTGATCTGCCAGGGAACTGCAGGTGGTGGTTCCTGAAAGGATCTGCCAGCTTTAAGCTGATATTCCCTGAAGTGTGTATGACCTAGTTTACGCGTGTCTCTGGTTTCACTTGAGACTCTTGGGTGAAACAACCTTATTACTTATTATGTACTCGTACAAGGTGTTTCTCATTAGCATTTCCACTTGAAACCGCATTAAAACTTTCCAATTTGTGCACGCGTAAGGCCACAATGCCACCCAAATCGAATCGAAACCAATTAAAAGTGTAACAAGGCTTCCGAGTAAGCTCTACAGGAGCAGCAAAATGCTTGCCCTGAGATACCAGTGAACCCTTTTTTCGAGTTCAAAGTGATCTCTTATTTAAGTGTAATGTTTTTGGGTGTAAAAGACAAATTAAAGCTGGAGCTGGAGCTGGAGCCTGCATGACAATTAACGCAGCAATCGCAGCCAGCTCAGAAGCATAATCAAATCGCATTCACTTTCAATCGAATAATGCCTCAGAGCAAGGTAAAAATCGAAACGCAGAGCCAGAGCCAGAGGCAGAAATAATACAAATGAAAACTTAAAGCGGCAAACGGCAGACAGCAGACAGCGGGCAGTCAACAGAAGACATAAGACGACTGGAAATTGGTCTACGTGCCACGAATTTGGATCATAGGCAGACGCGGCCCAAAAGCCAAGGAGGAAGAGACGCAAGGAGATTTCGGCTGGTGGACAATGGCAGCCCCCGCACACGCTCTACCCGCTCACTGCTCCCTGTCCATACGCAATTTGTACGTACGCACACGGTGCCATCATCAGCTGAGCGACAGAATGCAAATTTCGCACGCAAATGGATCGCGAATGGATGGATCTGCCAGCGTATAAAAGTCGTCGTTTTTTTGGTCAGGGCATGTCAGTTCATTTTTGATAACCGACGGTGACAATCGCACAACAAAACCCCCACCCAAGCCACACAATGAATCCTCTGACGGTAAGCCCCAAAGCCTGGATTCATGGAAGGCTTACGCTGACTCTTCGTTCGACTTCTTGCAGGTTGTAGCAGTCCTCTCCTCGATGGCCCTCTCGGCTCAGGCTGGTCTCGTGGCTCCAGTGAGCGCACCTCTGGCGGCAGCTCCTTTCGGTGCACCACTGGCCTACAGCTCACCTCTGGGCGCCTCGCCATACTTTGCCCCGGCCGCGTACTCGGCGCCTCTGGGCTACTCGGCCCCGCTGCTGGCCAGGAACTATGCCGCTGCTCCATTTGCGGCGCCCTTCGGTGGTCCATTCGCTGCACCTTTCGCTGCTCCAGTTGCTGCTCCTCTGGCCGCCCCAGTGGCTGCTCCAGTGCTTGCCAAGAACGTGGTTGCTGCTCCTCTTGCCGCTCCAGTTGCAGCGCCCCTGGCTGCTCCAGTTGCTGCTCCTCTGGCTGCTCCAGTTGCTGCACCCATTGCCACCGAGATTGTGGATGCCCACCCACAGTACAGGTTCGCCTACGATGTCCAGGATAATCTGACCGGTGACTCCAAGACCCAGGAGGAGACTCGTGATGGCGATGTTGTCCGTGGCTCCTACTCCCTGATCGAGCCCGACGGTTCCCGTCGCATTGTCACCTACTACGCTGATGACATAAACGGATTCAACGCTGTCGTGCAGAAGGATGTGCCTGTGGCCGTGGCTCCCGTGACTCCAGTTCTGGCCAAGACCATTGCCGCTCCCGTTGCCCCAGTGGCTCCAGTCTTCGCCAAGACTCTGGCCGCACCCATTGTTGTCTGAGGAGGAAGGACGAATCGATAGCCTGCAATTCGACAAAGGACTTTCATCTGTACATATTCGATTAATCATTGTCGTGCCCTAAAAAAATGACTTTCATCGCAACCCAAAAATAAATAGAAACTCTTTAAAAACCTTTTGTGATTCCAAAACATCTTTGTTTGAATTCTTAATAGTGTATATAATGTGCCATTGCTTAGATTTGCCCTCCTTGACTTTGAGTCTTCATTTTCCACTCATTAATTTCTTTCAGGGACTGGGGCGAGGAGTTCTGGAAGCTTTCGCCTCATGAGAATGTGGCCCGCATGCGCCTGAAGCTGGAGCCGCAGCTGTATCCCAACAAGCACGAGAATGCTGCCAATCTGAGGGACAATGCCACCAGTGCCTACGACACCAAGTAAGCCAGACAATAAGCACAACAGCCAAGATTTGCTTCTGATTTGAGTGTGTTCCACAGGGAAATATCAGAGTTCGATTCGACCATCAAGAATGCGGTGGTGCGCGACTTTCTGGCCGACGATGAGAGCTCCCAGCTGGAGGAGGAGTTGCGGCAGCTGATCGACACACAATCGCAGCAGGATGTGGCACTGGAGAAGCTGGTCATGTCGCAGGACTGCGAGCTGATCACCCTGATGACCAAGGTCAAGGGGCGTATTGAGGTCAACCAGAGCGTGTTTACCTTCGTGGACATGAGCCCACCCACTGAGGATGGGTCCAAGCACGACTTTAGATTCACCACCAACAAAATACGCGAGGTTCATCTTCGGAAATACAATCTGCGTAGGAGCGCGCTGGAGATCTTCCTGGTAGATCAGACCAGCTACTTTCTCAACTTTACCACCAAGGTGAGTGCAGTACATCCTTTTCCGAGAGCTCTTCCTGGACTAATCCACTGCTTCCATTTCCTCACAGACTCGCAACAAAGTCTTCACCAAAATTGTGGGTTTGCCGCTGCCGAATATACTGTACGGCTCGGGTCGCTCGCCAGCGGAGCTGCTGCGTGCCTCGGGCCTCACCCAGCGTTGGATCAATAGGGAGATATCCAATTTTGAATACCTGATGTACCTAAACACCATCGCTGGTAGGACTTCCTCCAACTCTTCCCCAGTAAGCTCTGCTTAAAGTGTTGTAATTCCTCTTTGCAGGCCGCTCGTACAACGATCTGAGCCAGTATCCCGTCTTCCCCTGGATCCTCGCCGACTACTCGAGTGATGTGCTGGATCTGACGGATCCTAAATCATTCCGTGACTTGTCCAAACCCATTGGATGTGTAAGTTATGCCTAAATACATTTGTGTACAGATTAAATCAATTTGTTCGTAAATAGATTAACCCTAAGAACGAGGCTGAGGTGCGCAGTAAATACGATTCCTTCGAAGACCCATCGGGTGCCATACCAAAGTTCCACTATGGAACACACTACTCCAACTCGGCGGGAGTTCTACACTATCTTCTCAGAGTAGAGCCCTTCACCTCGCTGCACATTGAGCTGCAGAGCGGGCGCTTCGATGTGGCCGATCGACAATTCCATTCGATACCGCAGACATGGAAGCTGCTGATGGACAATCCAAACGATGTCAAGGAGCTAATACCCGAGTTCTTTTACTTTCCCGAGTTCCTCAAGAACATGAACAAGTGAGTGCCATCTCGTTCTGTCACTTATTACACTTCAGAACTGATCAAAATGTCTTCTCCCGCTACAGATTCGATTTGGGACACTTGCAAATAACCAAAGAAAAGGTGGACGATGTCATACTGCCTGCTTGGGCGACCACCCCTGAGGAATTTATTGCCATACACAGGCGGGCGCTAGAGTCCGAGTATGTCAGCCAGCATCTGCATCATTGGATCGATCTGATCTTTGGCTATAAACAGAAGGGGCCCAAGGCAGCGGAGGCACTGAATGTATTCTATTATTGCTCCTACGAGGGTGCAGTCGATCTGGACAAGATCACCAACCAGGTGGAACGAGAGGCCGTTGAGGGTTAGTGTCTCTCGCTAGCAAATGTCAACCAACCCGTGCTCAAAATATTTCTTATCCCCGCTAGGAATGATCAACAACTTTGGCCAGGTGCCATCACAGCTGCTACGGGAGCCCCATCCACGTCGCCTTACCCAGGATGAGACAGCGCTGAAACTGGTGCGCGCTGAGCTGCGGCGGCCGGATCTTACGCAGTTCCTGGACAAAGTGGTGCAGTACTATTGTGAGCTGTCCACGCCCAAGGATCCCATTGTGTATCTCAGCTCGCCACGGAGTCCGCCGCGCTCCTTTTTGCAGCTGAGTCCCGACGTGCTGGTCAGTGTGTCCAAGTCCACGATTTTAGGCTGCAATTCGTGGCTGTCCTACGACAAGGAGCAGGGATTCCTGCTGGAAATCGATGCCACCACAACCAACCTGAAGTAAATCTTACCCTGGGATTGCACCTGGGATTGTGTCTCTAATCGAGTTTCTTTACAGGAATCGCAAGCGAGTCTTTGGGCCCTTCCACTCCTCACAGCCACCGCACTCGCAGCTCTTCGCCGTGAGTACCGATGGCAAGCTGCTCTACGCGGGCGGCATTTGGGACAACGCCCTTCGGGTGTACAATCTGAACAAGGGCAAGACGGTGGCCTCGGTCACCCGCCATTTGGACATTATCACCTGCATAGCGTTGGACAATTGTGGGTCCTACCTGGTCACCGGCTCACGCGACTGCACTTCCATTGTGTGGAGCATCCAGCAGTCGAATCAGCAGGGTCCCAGTGGCGGTGGGCAGCCGAGTAACATTCCGGTGCATACCCTGACTGGGCAGTCCCATTTGCAAGCTATCACGCAGGTGAATACACAGAACAGCTACTCCCCCAAGCCGCTCACCGTGCTCTATGGCCACGACGATGCCATCTCCAGTGTGGCCATCTATACTGAGCTGGATCTCGTGGTCTCTGGTTCGCTGGTAAGCCAAACAAAGTCTCCCTCAATTCAGACTCTAACTTTCTTTCGTCGTTTGTCTTACAGGATGGCACTGTCAATGTGTATACACTACAGGAGGGGCAGTTTGTTAGAACATTGAAGCCCATCGGATGCACAGAGTCGTGTGTGCAAATCTCATTTGTAACGCTATCATATCACGGTGAGTTTTCTGATTAAAAGATCCATCTCTGGCGTGATAAGTAGGCTACAATTTGCTTTAAATTCTGCACAAAAGTATGCCTCTCTTTTAGTTGTAAAAACATTCAAATTGTGGCACTTATTTAGGGATTGTTCAATTCATTCAAGAGACTAGGAAAACTCTCTTGATTTTTCCATAAAAGGCTGCTCCTCTTACCCGATACACTTGGATTAAAAACTTGCAGTTGAGTGCGGATTTATGCGGAAGGAATATACTTAGTTCACGAAAGATCCTGTCCTGTCCTGCCCTATCCAACTGCCATCAAAGTGTATATAAGAACACTTGAGTTAGACAACCTTTTGGGTCACCCAAGCACCGCTTTTCTCTGATCTTTGCCCGGGCACACATTAAACCCCCTAATCAAAGTCATCTGCTGTGATGTGTGGTTGACAAAGCACTCACGTGCTGGCATGCCGATGTCCTATTATGTTTGAAGTGCGGGGCAATCAAACAATTTAATCAGCACAAAGCTGGCCCTCTCCGTTATCGGCAATTGCCTCATGCATGTTACATATGTACATACATTCATCTGTACATATGCACAAACATACATAAAAGAAGCGTCGAGAATCACGTGATTGTGTGGCCATGTGCCTCGTTCTGTCCCGTCCCTCAACCATGCACCACTCTGCTCTGCTCTGCTCCACTCTGCTATGCGTGAATCTGTATCTTATCGGGGTGCAGCTGAGGCGACAGCCGACAGGGCGGTCATTAATCCAAATTCAAGCATGTGAGCTTAAACAATGTGAGATGTGCTCGAGATCGTAAAGTGGACAAGTAGACAAACCACCTGCAAGGTTAGAAATGTGTCAAAAGCCACGGTATTTCCCACCATTCCTCATAGCAACTGTCAAGGTGCGTAGCTAATTTTTTAGTTCATTTATAATGGAATATTTATGTTTTGAATTCACATTCTCGCACCGTTGGAAATATGGAAATATGGAATTTTGGCGCTGATGATGAATGTGAACACTTGTGAACATTTTTGTGTTTTGATGCCTTGGTATAGATCCCATATAAAACTTGAAGATTAGTAGGCACAAGTTTCAATTGGTTTTTAATTGGCCTCATTAAAAGCAAATTAAGATTAATTTTTGATAATTTCCCTAAAACAAAAACCCCCAGGGTGCACAAACCTTGACTCAGACAACAAAATAGTCTCCTCCATTTACATTTCTTATGTTAAATAGGTCTTGAAATTATATATTCACACATTAGTTATGAAATTCCTTTGGTTTAGGCTTCTAGTATGTGCGAAATGCTACGTCAATGGGGCGACAACTCGTTTATTGAATTCTTTAAATATTCAGCCATATAGATTTCAGACTCCACTCGATCCGATCCTCTTGCAATCGGCGTGGACTTTTGAGTTTGATATAACACCGCCATATAACTCTTCACACATGTATCCGGCATGCATGTGGAACATGTGTGTCGCTCTTTGAGTGTACTGCAGGCGGAGGGAGGTCTCCTTATCGAGAGAATTCATGAGAGTATTTGAGATTATTAATTAATTCGCAACATCCGGCACTGAGTACAGTTCAGAAGTATTCAAATCAAATCGAACGTCATTCCAAACTGAGTTTCCAGGCCACATTATGGGTCTTTAATTGCGTTCTTGTCGACAGCACCCAATCAATTACATCGCCCCTAATGAAAGACCTCACAGTCGCGACGCACCACCGCGCCGCGCCGCGCCACGCCACGCCTCCAACTCCCGCCGAGATCCATTGATGGCCCTATCAGCCCCCAACGAATATACATATTCCAACCCAAACATACACATGAACATCCATTCCTTCCATCCAATCGGTTCTGCTGGCATTAACCCAAACGACGCGTCGTTAATGGAATCAAATCAGAAGCGAACGACGAGCCCCGAAACAAATCGCGTCACACAGTCACACGACCCAGCCGACCGTCTGTCCCTCCCATTATGAGTGCTCCCCGCCGTCGTATCCACTCGCGGTCTCCTACTCTGCCCGCTGTCTCCTCTCCTCTCCTCTCCCATGCTCTCTCGCTTTTCCCCCGTTTGTGCGTAGTCACAGTGAGGCGCAGTGTCGCGGCGGATTCATTCAGTATTTAGATTCGAGAGTCTTATTAAATAGTTGTAGTAAATTCTGACAAGAGACCCTAATAAAGATCAAGATATAGGTACCGACATATACATATATATGTATATGCGTACTATATGCAGCGGTATCTATTGTGGTGTGTGTGAGATCGAGAACTTTTGAATGAATTTCAAGATTGGCAAGAAGCACACCACACCACACCACACCACCCAGACCAGACCAGACACGGTTATTTCTAGTTAGATCTGAGTCGGTCATACCATTAGGAAGTTCATTCAGATCCAATCTAGAGAATTTAGCATGGGTCTTCCTTCTCCACCGAACGAGTTCTTCTCGGCACTGGCATTGGCACACACAGACACGACACTCCACACAAAAGATAACAGCAACTACGCATTGCACGCGAGAGAGGGAGCCGCCCGGTGGAGCCACATTTGTGGTGTGTGTGTGTGTGGTATGGAGCAGTATGTCGCCATGTCATAATCTTTGCGGACGATGCGATGTCAGGTTATCTGACGCACACACACACACACACACACACACACCCACAGTGGGCCAGGCCAGTCCGGACTATTGCTCGTCTAGTGATATTTCCACTGCGTAGATGGATGAAACGAAACACGAAACACGCCCTGCCCCACATTCCGCAATCTGTACAACGCTCTGCTCCGCTCGCTTCGGTTTTGCATCGATAAGATCAAAGAATGTGCTATAGATTACCAGCCCACCCCCCATAGCAGCCACCACAGCGCATAGTTTAAGATTTCATATATCATAATTATCTGCTTTCTGCAGGCCACATTGCCTTCAGCGCCCTGGACGACACCTCGCACTCGGTGCATGTGTACAGCATCAATGGATCCAGCCTTGGATCGAAGTATGTCTCCGGCAGGGTTACGGGACTGGCCTGTGCCTCCGATTACCTGGTGGTGGCCGACGATGCTGGGGACATAACTATGAGCAGATTGCATGGGTAAGTGCAGAACAAATCGACATCTATTAAACGAGTAGTCATGGCCAGTAGTGTTATCACATAAATAATTTGATGGCGAGTATATATAAAAGTTTAAGAAACCTTTGGCATCAGACCAATATCACTTTTCAGCAAAACTCCACTCGAGCATGTGTCCCTTTGTATCCCTGTGAGCATAGGTACCCTTCCTTGAGCGTCTGTAGTGTCATAGTAATTACATTTCAGAATTGAGATACCTATGTAGCTTCCGAGCCATAAGTTTGCATAAAAGCAGGCAGACAAACTTCTGACTAATTTTCTAATACCATCTCCAAGGGTAAAAAGAACTATTTAAGTTCAACGACATTCATCTTCTTGTTTTTCTAAGAAACAAATAAATGCTACGTAAATCAATTCTGAGAATTAACAAGTAAGACCACAAACGAGCATGTTTCTTATGCTACATTCGACTATAAAATACCCGCTAATCAAACGTATTTCATTACTTTAACTTCCATCAAAAAAAAAATGCTCATCAAAAATTTATATTAAATTCTCTTCGAATCAAACCTTTCAAGCTCAAATGTTTTTTTTGTTTTTGTTTTTTTTTTTTTCTACAATAGATTGAAGCCCGTGTTTGACATTCCACTGCATGTACCCATCCAAACGGTGGTGGTGACACCGGGCAACACCCACATCCTGGCACCGCTACGCGATGGCCGCCTGGCCGTCATAGCGGTACAGCTACCAGCCGGCGGCAACAAAAAGCATTCCGTGCTCAACGTTTAACGTACAACGGAGGAGAAGGAGGAGGAAGAGCACCCCCCAAACGATTTGGGGATTTCCATAATTTTGCTCTTAACTTAGATTAATTTGTCGCCGTCTTCTTTTTGTGACTTTGCTGTTTTCCCGACTCCACTTTGATTTGAACTAATCCTAGGCTTAATAAGTGTATCGTACGTATTGTGTATTGTGATTTGGTAGTTGTCTGAATTTGTTTGCTGTTTCCTACGTGATGTGCCAAAAACACACTGATAGCTGATAACTGACATATGTGTCGGAAGAAATTCCACATAAGTTGACTAAAGTTAGGCACGAGTAATCGATCGATTGCATTCCCGGAATTCCCATTGACACACGCGTTTCTTTTACCAAATTTTCTTATCCACTTGTATTTCTGTGTGTTGGCATACACCTGTCCATCGATTGAGAGACGTGCCTTGTGCCGGCTAAATCCTGGGAGCCAATAGGGCCCCGTGATCGATGGCACACTCTTCAGTTAGCGTTGACGAAAATCTGAATAAATCATCAATCATTCGGCTAGCCCCTCCTGCTGCTGATGGCTGCTGCTGGCTGCTTCAGCCATGACTGTCGCGGGCCGGGCCAGGCACGGCGAGATCTGAATGTGGACGAAGATGAAGATGGAGACGGATCTGAAGGGAGCTGGCGAGCGAAACTGGTTGTCGGCAAAGGCGACGGCGCACTTGGCAAACTACTCACTGACTCACGAGCGACTTTCAAATTGGCCCAAACACAATAAATACATATAAAAAGCCCGAAAAAAAGTCTGCCCGGCAACAGGCAGGGCGCTTAGAGATCGCCACGGCATCCAGCTGCTCGACTGATCAAGAGAAACACTTTCGTTGCCGTTGTCGTTCCCATTCTCATTTCCCCCTGGTCGCCTGCAGATGGTACCAAAAATAGAGCCCAAGCGAAGATCTTTTTGTCTAGCGGCGGGAATGATCACATGCCAGCCAATCATTAACCGAAACATTTCCAATTGAAAGTATTATCATTGTACAATTAGAGTCCGTCCACAAACACACACACATGAAAACATCCATCGCAACTTGGAGACAATAGCGCAAAAAAAGTTTGCCAAAAACAGAACAGAACAAGAACAAACAGATAATGGATCTGATTCCTCAACAATATTCTTCTCTTCTGCCTTTGATCTTTGAGGCTGCTGCTGGCTTGTTGCCAGCGATCGTGAAATTTCTTGTAGAGTACCATTTTGGGGTGGGAAAAACCCTTCTACAGACGCTTTGAATATGAATTTCCAAAGACATGTGACAATATCATAGCAGATTGATTTTGATTTGACTTCATTTGATGAATTTTACTCGTATATACAAATTTATTCGTAGTGTAGTGATGCCCATCGCTTAAGCGCACAATCCGGACTTGAGATTAGGCCCCCGTTCTACGACCTGACCCCAAATTGAATCACATCCTAAGCTGAAATAATCACTGGGTGGCCAGCTAGCTGAAGGCCAACCCACAGAACAATCTATCAATATTTTACTCCAGCAATTTAGTCAGCCGCGTATCAACCGTGTACGTAAGATCTGTTCGTTTCGGATCGTTATTTGTTGTAATAGTAATACCATTTAAAAGTTTACGTACGTAACTGTACGACGAGTTTATGTAGATAATGTGAGTGTAATCTGTACTCTGTAGATCTGTCAATAAAGTGATTTGTGAACCCAGAAGAGAGCGGTCGAGTTATTTTTTATATATATATTTAATGTTCGTTTTTCATTTCTTTTCATTGTATTTATTCAAAAAACAAACTAAACAAATTAAGAGAAAACCATATTTTCAGTTCACTTAGCTTAAAAAATAATAATAAAACATGTATTTATCGTTTGTTGGGATTGTGTGTGTGTGTGTGTGTGTGTGTGGTAGCCTATGAAACTGCTGATTCGTTCCGTGAAATACTATTCTGTGGGGTGATTTGCTGTGTATGGATTGCGATGAATTTCTGGATGAATTTTGGTCGATTAATAAATTAGTTGTAAAAAATGATTGCGGTGCACATAAATACGAATTGGGTGACTGACTGATTGTAGGGGGATGTTGTGTGGTGCTGGGGCTTTTCGGCACCCTCATTAAGTAAACGGCCAATTACCCTTACGTTGAAGCTTAACGTTAACTAGAGCTCGCCTGAATCGTTAGGAACCATCATTGCTGCGCTTACAGAACAAGACGTGTGATTTGATTACAAGCCTGATGACTAAAACTAAAATTGAAGAAAAAACCATATGGCGGAGATAAGACAATTCGATGCTATAGCTATTCGATGCGTTTAAGTCGATAGGAAATTGTTAGAGTCTAAGCCGGCATTAGATATGGATTACAATCTAAACTGGCACTTAATCTACATTGTACAACGTATGACCTTACTTTCATTTCATTTCGAAATAATTATTTTTCTTTTGTTTTGTATTTTTTGTTGTTTTTTTTTTTGTGATTTTTCTTAGCATATTCCATTTTTGTTTTCTCGCATCTTCAAAGGCATTTGATCTATCTAACTAACTAGATGAATTCTCTGTCGCTGTCAATCCAATAGCCCTGTGGTTTGTGTAGTTTTTGGTGGGATCTTTAGTCTTGCTCCTTCTGCAAATAGAACAAGCAAACAGAGATGGATTGTGAGTAAGTTGCTTTGCACTCTTGCCAGTCTTTATAGATATAGTATGTACGGGGATAGTGAGAGAATACTTACAAGTACAGGATAAACGAAGGTGTCGGCAGAGTCACGGCCAACAGAGTTGCGGGCAATGCACTTGTAGTTGCCCATATCCTCCCATTTGAGCTCCGAGATGAGCAGATCACCCGTGGGCAGCACCTTGTAGCGATGGTTCTGCACCACCTCCTTGTTCTCGTTGTTCAACCAGGTGACCTCAGCCCGGGGACGGGCGTGCACTTTGCAGGGCAGCATTACACTGGAGCCCATCAGATCCAGATGGGTCTTCTCGGTGTAGATGATGCGAGGCTTCTGGGGGCCCGGGTACTGCTTCTCGCGCACCATGCGCATATCGCCCAGATCGGAGCGCACTGGGTGGACCACTGTGCTGGCGTAGACGGTCTTGGAGCCAGTACGTCCCACACAGGTGTAGGTGCGAGACTCGCTCAGCATGTGGTCGATGATGTGCACCGATCGCACGCGAACAATGGCACTTGCCGCATCCTCAGACACCACATTCGAATCGAGATTCTCAATCTAAAGATAGAGAAGAGATAGAGGAGCGCGATCAGCTTGCTGCTGCGGAGGGGTGGAGTGCGAGAGTGTTGGACTTACCTCAGATAGCGGCAGGTGGCCGACTATCCACTGGATGGTGGGCACCTGGGAGCCCATCATCTCGCAGACAATCTCCAGAGTGGCGCCGGCTGCCTGTTGCAGCTTGGCGGGCGGCGATTTGGTGAACTTGAGCCAGTCGGCCTCGAAGGGTCGTCCTCGGGGCTTCTCCTCCGACTCCGCCTCAATGGAGTTGTCGACATCGTTGCTATCGTCTACAATGTCCACGGCACGGCTGTGGACGCTCGAGAGGCTGCCGAACAGCAGCAGCGCTAAGGCGCACAAACTTAAATTCATTTTCTGTAAGAGAGAACCAACAAACCAATCGGAAATGAGTGCAAAGTTCAAAGCCAGTATCAAATTCCACTGCAAAGTGGACAGTGGACAGTGGACAGTGGACACATCTCAATCTCATCTCATCTCATCATCCGACCGACTCCGACTATAATATAGGTTAATAAACTCGACACCACTTGATAGTCAGTCACTGGCTTGATCGGCGAGTCATGCTCCTTCTCTCGGTTATCTCTCGGAAAGCAATTATAAGTACTCGTAAATCAGGGGAGGTCTCAGCGGCCCCGATAAGAGCGCAAGGCCTTTTCAAGTGGCAGAGCTTTAGAACATTGCGAAATGTCCAGATCTCTACCACCCAGAAATCCTTTCAGAACTCACCCCCCAAAAACAGAAGTCCGAATTTCACAATGCCACGCGGCTCTGCTGACACACAAATGAGAATGAATGGAAATCTATCGCTTCAAAGTGTCTCTGCGGTTCGCGTGGGCCGCGTGAGGGTGATAAATTCGAATCGAAATTTGGAATCACACTACTGTGACGTCAGTGGATCCCGAGACAAGAGACACAACACTGAACTGTCCACTACACTATCCACCCACGCCTGGGATCAAGGGCCACTGGCGTCTAGACTGGACTGGACAACTGCGTGACCGATGAATTATTCAATCGGGCATTCGAGGGTATTATGTATGTACGAGTATTTACGAGAATGTATATTACCCCGTTCATCGATCGTCCCAAGTCTCTCGAATCGTTGGCGAATGTTGCATCAGACATTTTTTTTTCGACTCACTTTGCCCTTCGATGGGGAACTTTTCAACACTCGGTGTTTGAGGCACGGGATACGGGGAACGGGGTGCTTTGATTCGATTCTCTTTAAATTCGAATTGGAAATAGAAACCACGCAATCCGTGGGGAAATTAAATAGATAGGGATTTGTGAGTCTCATCACCATCTATTGTTGGGCCGTCGACGATTAATCATCCAACCCACCCGTTTGACGTAGCACCACTTTATCGAGACTACCATACATATAATATATCGTACAGTAGGATAAGTATATAACTCACCTTTTGATTTGATTTCTTTTTTCTCTTCCGGTAAAAAATGTTTGCAAATTTCTCCCTAACGTTTAATATATAAGAACAGGCGGTCGCGATTGCTTTGGGTCTCTTTCGGCAGTCAGAAGAGATCCGCTCGTCGTTATGTTATGAACGAATTTATCAACTCTATATTATGGTGGCTTCTCGTTTGGGTTTTCTGATTGAAGTTCAACAGCAATTGGCTTAGCACTGACATAGGTCCGGCGATGGATGCCGTCTTGGTGGTCGTGCAGCTCAGTGTTGGCGGAATCTTGACTGGAGCTTTATCGCGCACTCTGCAGATTCGGATGCGGTGGCTGCAGATCGGCTAATGGTCTAGCTGGAGACGAAGGACACACACGCACGCGTTTGGGGAGGGATTGGAGAGGAGACAGCGTCTTGGTGGCTGGCTTTCAATGATATTCGGCGTAGCGAATGTCTAGCTGACGGCTTTGGCACATTCGATCGAAATCAGTGGATCTTTCTATATATCAATCGATATAGCTGTGGACTTCTTCAATTGCTGTGGCAGTGGCAGTGACAGTGCTGTTGAGGTGGTTTGGTTGTTGCGGCACTCGTTTGAATACGCACGGTTCATCGACATTACAATTCACAAGTCAAGGTGTGTCAATGGAGGCTTCGTTCGGTCTGTCTCGCTGCGGCTTGAGCTCGATACGCGTCACTGGCTATTCACGAAAAGACTGAGGATCGGATCGGATCGTGTCGGTTTGGAATCGGTTTGAATATTGGCTTGAAAGCGAGGCGCTGGCACTGGCACTAAGATTGTTGTTCAACAGCGAAAAACTGTAAATGAACTGATCGTCACAGTCTCGGGCTCTTTTATTTATACTACTCGTGTGCTGAGCCGAGCATCCGACGGAAACACACAAACACATACACGCAGAGGCAGAGACACCGCCGCTGCTGCGCTCTTCGACTCACTCTCCCTCTCTCTCTCTCTCGGTCTCTCTCTCTGCACTCGGTCGGGCAGAATTTGAATTCATATAATTCTTTGTGTGGTCGCCGAGGGTAAGGTGGAGCGGGAGCGGGACAGTCCGGAACAAAACGGACACACAGTGCTTTTCGCTGCTAGTTATCCTGCTGCTTGGGGGCCATAAACATGAGCTTATATGTGCGATGGGATTTGATTTCATAAATTCGTCTCGATTTAATTGTTGTATTCCTGCCTCTCTCTCTCTCCGCTTGCTGTGGGATGGCAGGATTCCCCCAAACCCTTTCGAACCCATTCCCGTATCTCGGTACTTGGCTTTTAGCCAATTAACAGACAGTTGGCGATAGTAGTGAAGACCACTTCACCTCCTTCGTGTATAAGGCTGGGGCCGGCACTGGGGTTGGGGGCAAGATTCGACCGATCAGCGTGCAAGGTTCCATTAGCCGAGACTGAGTCTGTCCATTTCCCTCTGCTGCTCTGTCCCTCCATCCATTTATTTCATTGCAATCAAGTGTGAGTGCCAGTTTGTCTGCGGCGATCGTCGCATGGGATGGGAGAGATCGTGCAGGGACGGGGGACGCAGATACCACACAATGTAGCAATGCTGACTGCCCGGCAGTCGTATATTTGTATCTTTGTGTGTGCTGTTTGAGAGGAGAAAGAGGAGGAATAGAGGCACAGGCACAGGCAGAGGCATAAAACTAGTCGCTGACTGAGATTGTAATGGAGGTGCCGCTGCCGCTGCCGCTGCCGCCGCCGCCGCCGCCGGCACCATCACCACCGGGAGGTGCAGCCAAAATGGCAGACAGACTGGCAGCCACATCGCGTGTTCGCTTTCCGCTTTGCTCCGCTGTGGAGCCGGTCTGAACCGGCGACTGTTGCCGGGCGGCAGCCGCTGCCACAGCCCCACTGCGGTTGCTGCGGGTTGCTCGTTGTGTGGAGTGGAGTGGAATAGAGGGAAGTGGAGCGGCGTGGAGTGGCGGGACGGGACGGGACGGGTTCTCGACAGTTGCGACTAGTTTTCTTTCTTCTCTTTATCGAGGGGCCACATCGACAATCGACAACGACTGCAACTAGATTCAATTCTATGGGTAATTTATTTATTGCACGTTACACAAATCGTCCGACCACAAAGTCACCTCATCCCCACCCCACCCCAACCGACTTTCCGGCCAGTTGGCCGCGGTGGCGGTTCGGCACAAAGCGAAATTCAATTGAGAGAAAAATCTTGCAGGTGCTTGAAATTGTGTCTCGTGCCGCTGCCACTGCCACTGCCTTCGCCTCTGCTTCGGGCTCTACCTCTGACTATTGCTATCTGCCGGCACACCTCAAAGCGTTGCCATCGATATATCGTAACGCTGACGTAAGGGGCACTGAATTGAAATGGCCTTTCGATGGCGATGGATGCCTCTATGGGGATGTATTATTGCTGATGGGTGCTTACCTCCCCCGGGGAAATGGATTGGGTAGACGTAACACAGCCGAGATTGCACTGCTCTCTTCTGTTTCGTTTCAGGATAGGGGTTGCTCTCATTTCCTAGCTCCAGGCTGTATTTCCTATAAAGGCGACACGGATGCAACGTCCGAGCCCGAACAGAACTGTACATTTCCATCCCCTTTCCAAAATGAGATCATCTCTCGGATTGTGGATCAGTTCGTGGCATACATATTCATGGGCATCCGACGTCACAGACGACCTTTCAGGTGGATCGGCCATTATTGTCATCGCTCGTCTTGTCAATTAGGTTACCGCCTGTCGCTTTGCCACCGCCGGCCGCTCCTCTTTCATTCGAAACGTAGATTTATAGGTTCCATTTCCTAGAAACTATCAAACCATTATGCGAGCTGAGCTGGTTGATTTTCTCCCACAGATAAGAGAGGTAGAGGCCTCGAAGATATTGTATGATTCGTATGATTCGGTGCCAAGATGATGGCACAAAAAATATTGCATCATGACAGTGGACTCCGTGCAGTTGTGCATTTGTGCATTTGGTGCATGGGTTAGCCAAATTGGCTCGCTTCCGCTAATTTATAATGGGTAATGGGTGGATCGGTAGATCTCTTCCCCTGAGGCTGCACCACCACTACTCGTGGAGCAGCAGCGTCGTATCGTTTGCACTTTTCTGCTAATTAACGTCGTGACAGGCGATAGCAACACCTCCAGAGCAAACAGTGCCACAGCATCACCGGAACCACACGACACCAACACGAGGAGAAGTAGGAGGAGGAGAAGACGGCTCATTCAAAGTGAGACTGAAGAGACAGACGGACGGATAGACGGACAGTCACAGAGACAGATGGAGAGTTCGGGGAAAAGATAGTGTAACATGCAACGGAGACCAAGACCAGTCGTCACACTCAGCCCGAGATACAGCCACACAGATACACCCGAATACACTGATACACGTGAACACAGGGGACTGGACGAGGACGGGGACTGTGGGTAGTCGGAACCATTTGTTGGACTGACTGCAGGTTGCACTGGTGTGTGGGTTGGAACGAGCAGCCGATCAGCGGAGCAGCCACTGGAACGCTGCTGGTGACGACGTGAGAAAATTCATGTTCATGCCACAAATTCTGTGCCGTTTTCATGGTTTTTTTTTTCTTTTTGCCTGCTGTCACTGATACGACGCTTTGGCTATTAGTGCGGCTGTGTGTGTTGGCGTGTCTGTGTGCAGCCGCCTAGCAACAGCGAGGAGAGGAGGCCTCGATTTTGGTCTTCTACCATAGGCCGGTGTCGGTGCCATACACGCGCAGGCGCAGCAGTGGCAAAACGAGTGGTGGGGGGGAAATGGATTTCAGAGAGCTCGTGTCGCCTTGACTCGATGAAAGGTCAGTTCAGGGAATTGGAAAACCCTACGGACCGGCACATGACTGTGCATTGCATGTCGTAGTGCTGTTGTAGAACGGAATATGCCAGGCGATTCCATTGAAAAGTGGCGGAAATTCCCTTTTAATAGCTTCTCTAGGCAACTTTTTGATTTAAATTGAAACTATTTAAGGCTAAAAGTCTCCTCCCATTTCTTAGACTGGAAATTGCACCTGAAATTCCTTTGTGGTGTCGTTCTCCTTGGGCTTATCTCTTCGACCTGAACTTGAACTATAGTATTGGGATTGCCCTTAAAGCTTTCGATAGCCCTAACAATTTCCTTCCGATCTCTCCCCTCTCTGGCTGGTACATCAGTCGCACGTCGCTGTTCTACATCGCAACGAGATCACGCATCGGTAGGTTTCTGTGTGCGTAAGAGTAGATGTAATGTGCGGAGCATAACAGGCAAATGAAATGGAATGGAAAATTTTTGAAACCACATATCACGTTTCCACTCTCTTAAAAGTGGAAAATTTTACGAGTAGAGTAGTCCCAATGAAATGCAATTATCACTAATTGTTTAGCTCCCTCGGTTTGACAGATGATGACGGACAGCTGGTGGCATTAGCATTTAACATGTATGTACATTAAAGCTAACATTAACACTGCCATTACAGCAAAGAGGCATATCGGAATCGGAATTGGAAGTGGGAAGAATCTGTACTTCCTCAACAGGGTGCGAGTGGGATGCATAATGTGTACAGTAATGTATGAATTAACCTGTCTTTCGATGGTGATTTATGTGTGCCTGTGCCTGTGCCTGTGCTTGTATGTTAAGTGCATTCGCCTTCCACTGCATTTCACGCTATCTCTCTCTTACTCTCTCCCCCCTCTGTATGTGTGTGTGTGATCGTAATCTGATTCTCTGGCATTCTTCAGTCGGCTTAATTTGAACGTGTGAGGCGGGGTTGTGGGTCTCCGGTTACCTTCTGTTTGTTGTGCAACAAGTCGAGCAAGCGACCTGCCGAGCACCCAATAATCGACCACCACCGGAGTGGAGCGATGGCGACAAGTTTGACTCTGTTTTTGCCTCCGACTCCGACTTCGATCCGACTCTCGCCCAATTTGCTTCACGATTTCATCAGCCATTTAATCCGCTCTTCCTCTCCCTCTGCCTTTGCCATGGCTGCGCTCTTCGCTGCACTAAAAAGTGTGAACCCGAGCCGGAGAGCATAACCCTGAGCCTCTTCGTACCTACATTGATTCATTCATACATACTTATGTACATATGTTGTATGTACATGGCCATGTGTGAGTGAGAGAGTGTCACTTCATGGGTATGCTGGCGATGATGAGTCATATGGAAATCGTTAAAGTGAAATATTCCAAAAACTGAATGAGGTTGGGTCACATCCGAGTGTATTTAATGGGTGCTAATCAGGTCTACAAGAGACTTGTGAATTTGAAAGCTTTTTTATAGCGAACCTCATTCCCTTGAACACCATAGAGTCGATCACAGATAATGAAAGTAAATACTATTTGGTTTTATACCCGTAACAACTTCGAAACGTGCTCTTTTTGAACTATTGTGATCCCGCCACTCTTTCTCTGCGCTCGCCTTTGGCAGTTTCTTATCTTATATGTGTATGAAAGTTCCCATTTAATTGAAATCACTTCACTATAATGATTTGGCAAAAGAAAACAATAACAGTAAAATAGGTCAACTTTGGGAACTCCGAAGCTGCCAATACCCTTGATTTTTACCTACATATACGAATCGTTCTTACTTAGATTTTATATTATTTAACATCTTGAATGACCCTATACTACAGGAATGGATTTAAACTTTGTTGGGTAAGCAGTTCTCTACGACTTCGCTATGATTTCAAGAACCAACTAATTTTTAATAGGCGAATTTCGGCAGGGAATTTATATGACGTCTGATGACGTGTGCGGAGATGTTTTCGACTTGAACGTTATTAACATCACCATCAGCATCATCATCATCGTCGTCCACTTCCCAAGTTCAATGGAGCTTGAAAAACAATTATGAAAGCAATAACATGTAGAAAAGGGGGCTCGTTGCCCACACACAAACGCAGATAGAGAGACGTACTTATATAGAGTGGGATGGAGGGGGAAGAGAACAACGAGGACAGGGCCGCCAATTAAAGAATCCTACTTATTGCCAATATATACTGTATGTATGCATGTACATACTTCTGTACATATAAAAAACGTATTTTTTATGTAGCACATAATTAAGCTTGTGTACGTGTATGTGTGTGTGTGTGCGTGTGTGTAGGGGAACAACCGACGTCACGCGGAATGGATAAACACAGCATTCAAGTCAAGTGATGCCCGAATCGTTGGGGGCTCGTCGTGTGCTGCTTGTCGCGTCGGCAGCGACGCCATGCTCACATACACGCGCGCATGTATAAATACATGTTCACTCTGAGCAGCGCCAGAAGAGCGTTATGCTCTTTCTTGCGGCTCTCGCTCTCTCTGACGCCCCCTCCCTTCCTACCATTCTCTGAGCGATGCGATCGCATGCAAATGCGGCGAATGCAAAATGAAATTGAAAAAAAAAAAAACAGTGATTGCTGATCCCCCCACAAGGGGACCTCTCTCTGAGTAGGCAGTGACGCATTTGAACCCGCGCCCCTGTCCATCCGACCGACCCTCACCCGACCAGCCGGCGATCTGGCAGCAATTTACTAATTTCATTGCGAAAAATCGCCTTCGATTTAAATACCCTTGCAGAGGGTATGCTATGAGGCGTTTTTCAACGTATTAACTTTAGCGAATGAATTATAGTTCCTACGAGCTTCTCCGTACCTGAACCAAATTGTATTAGCATCAGGTTAGTAACACAAGCAAGATATGCTTTAGAATCTGTTATCACACATATGTATGTATGTACATCATAGACACAGGGTATTAAAGCTTTCGGGGCCAGAGGCAGGCATTACTTTCTCGTTTTTGCTTAGGTTTTTTTCTTCCATTAAACAAATTGCGATTTATTACAAAAGTGATCTGATTATTAATTGCTTTTGAATTGATTTCGATTCGGTTTGCATCGATGACTCCGATTCAGAATCGGAGAATGGCAGGAGAGCGGGTGGAGGTGAGCAGGTTGAACCAGAGGAGTGCGTGACCAACGCAACGTCTCGGCACTCAGGCGCGGGTCGACATGTAACCAATTCTCGGCCTGGTCCGCGATGGGAGCCGCCTTTAAGCTCACGTAGCCCCCTAGTCGAAGCTGACTTGACACCAACTACATACAGTATTCCACTGAGTCAGCAAATGAAATGGCTGCACTCAAAGACCAAGATCTGGACTTGGTATCACTGACAGAAACTAGATCGAACCGCTGCGATTCGGATAGTTCTCTGCCCCCAGATTCTGGCTTTTCATCAGATTTTGGGGAAGTGAAACCAAGGAATTCACAATATTTTGATTAAGACTTGTTTTGATCATTCTCTGCGCTTCCCACGATCGCGCCCCCATCATTCGAGGACTTTGTTTACACTAGGAATTCAGCGGATGAAAGCATTATTCCTGAGGCCCCAACGCAAAAGCTCGTACACTTAATGTTATTGTCAGTTCTATATAATTCCGTTCTTCAGAGATAAACAACATGCGATGATCTTAATCTAAAATCCCGATACTGATGCTGCTTCTCATCTCCATCACATTCCAACTCTTAAGAGCAGACACCATGGCGTCTCTACAAACCCTACAAGCTCTGCCCTGACTAATTTCTGGCATTAGCCTAGCCTATAAAAAGCACCTATATCTGTGTGTTCTCTAGAGAATCGGTTGCCCAGTGCGATAATAATTTCGCTGAGCTCTGCTCGTATTCGAATTCAAGTGTAGTGTGACTATTTAGATTATGAGAAGAGTGAATACTCGCACAACTGAAACAGTAGAACCAGGGTAGAGCAACCAATTTACAGTGCAAACAGGAATGAAGAGGGCTAAACTTCCGTCTAGACGTGTGGCCAGGTCTTCTTTCCTGTCTCTTCACGTCACATGAGGCAACTCAATTTAACAATGTTGTTTAATTTTTTAGCACTTTCTTCAGCACAAGAGCTGTTTGGAATTGAAGTCACGAGAGATCAGAAATTCAAACAAATAAACAGATAATGGCTTTAAATCTACAAGTTTCTGAGATTCGTGTCAAATTATAAGCAATGATTCACGCATGGCAGGGGAATTTTCCTTTTAAGACTGGACTGGGGATCTTTTGCTGAGTGTAAACTTTTCGAAACGATTTAAAAAACCCAACAAACAATATAAATTCAGCTGATCCTTTCTCGAAACGCACTTGGATGGATTTATAAATTAACTAGCCACTTGGAGGACAATTCCTTAGATGTACTTCACTTTTATCGAGATACTTAAAAATATGTTGAACCTTAGAGTAGTTGTAGTTGAATTCCTACCTGCATTTTCCGGTTAAATTTTCCTCTAGCTTTCACTTTGAAGAAGTTCACTGTATTTTAGTTTTCACTTTCAGTTTTTTTCACACTAGAGTTCTAGGACTTTCGATGGAGATTCTTCTCTGATTTTATTGTAGATTCCGTTATCGATTTCCTGTGTGCCGTTTCCGAAGAGAGTGCATGCAGTTACAGTTATATTCTATTGGGGCTCGGCTCTCGTCTCTGACTCTGACTCTGCGGCTGCGGCTGCGGCTGCGGCTGGGTTTCGATTTCGGTTCGCTTCTGAGTTCTCGACTGGAGAGAGCTATGTTCTGCTCGGGATGTGGCGAATGATGGACTGTGTGGCGAAAGGTTGAGCGTCCATGCTTTTATATCGAGTATCGAGCATGCCCGAAATCAACAAGTGGGCTATTGCTGCTGCTGCTCGGAGGAACGGACCGACGGACGGACGGACGTGGACGGCCGAGCCTCGACAAATTGGACTCCACACTGGGGGCTTAATAACAGTATTGGCGTCCGTCAGCGGAGGGGATTGGGATGCCATCCATCCCCTCGTGAATGTACTGGTATTGGTGCTCGTTGCTCTGCTTCGGGCTCGTCTTGTCTTCGTCTTGGCAGCGTCGGGCCGGCCTTTGGCGGTTGGGTGCGAGAGCCCTGCGAGGGTGTTGGGGCTGGGATGGAGCTGTCGAGCTTTACTTGTTGCTCTCCTTTGATTGATTGATTCAAATGCGAGAACACGAGAATAATTCATGCAAATTTATTATTTTATATCACATATTTCTCATTAATATTCGCAAAAGATATGCAGCGTGTCCATAGGAACGGATCGGATCGGATCGGCTGCCACCGGATTGGGAATCGAAATCGAAATTGAAATGAAAATGGAATTGAAATGCGTGCTCCAGATACATATTCGGCAGTACAGTTTTCAGAAAATACAGTACGATGCAGATAGAGACACGAGTGCGACAGAGTCGATCGATTACCATAGCTGAATCGCTAGAGCGATGGTTGGTCAAAGGAGTTAGGGCAGTTACCGCCCGTACATCTAGCCGAAAGGAGCAATTGAATCCATCCAATTGGATTACGAGAGATTGCCCCCGACAGTTGAGCTTTCTTATCCAGATGTTGATAATTCCGGATTTGTTCGGGCTTCAGGTGGTATTTCAGTCAGCGCGAATAAGTTTCCTCACCCTGCCCACATAAGTCATCCAATCAATGGCCAATGGTGGCAACCAGACGTCATCGCTCCACTGGTTGTGCCAGACCTGTTGCCACCATGCCGCCACCAGTGTGGGCTCCATCAAACCCAATTGCAGAGCCCGTGGACCAATTGCACAAAGATTCCGACAGGCAGACACTGCTTCTGCTGCAACAAAAGCCTCTGATTCCCCAGCAGCCGCTGGACGATGGGCTTGGACAAACACAACTCAATTGATTTTTGTGTGGCGTCAATTGAAATGCACTTCGGAGTCTAGGATGGAGACTGGGGCGTACTTGCATCGAATGGTGCGAGTCGCTCGACACCGTTATATTCAAATGAAGTAGACAGTTTTTCAATTGTAAGGCAGAAGGCAAAAGGCAGCAGCAGTCGGACAAGACAATCACCGCCCTGACCAGTACCTTTATCAGCTGCATAATCATGTCATAATGACAATGATGACACTCGCAATGATGAGTGCCGCTCGCTGATTAGCTTCTGTGGTGGAGGAGACCTTGCTACCAGCAACCACCCATCAGGGCCGCAGTAGGGTCACAGGGCTGCCCCTGGCAACAGCTATTCAGTAATTCCTTATTTAAAAATGTCCATCGCCCGCCGCGAACCCACCCACAGCTTAACCCAAACCCTCCACCACACCCACTCAGACATATGTATCCTATATACAGACTGTTTACTGTGTGTGCATTGTATCTTTGCCACACGGAGTCGCCCACGCAGTCGCGCAACCAATTTGGCCATCCGTCAATAGGGCTTCATTTGAATTGCCAGCTTGTCTCCAATTGATGATGAACGCCATCATCATCGTCGTGGCACGAGTCCGAGCACCCAGAATACCACCCACGCGCCCTCTCAGATGCTGGTCCTGTCCCGGTTCCTGGCCAGCACAGAACAGCCCCTCCTGTGGCCATCATCTATCTGCAATCAGTCAGCAGCATGGCGTAATTAAACATTGGGCTGTCACAGTTGTCGTAGTCGTCCCATTGCGCATTTATTGGCAAGTTTATTCATTTAATCATGTGATATAATATACACATGCACATATGTGTTCATATGTGTACATACAACTTGATGCATGTACATACATATGAACATACGTACATACACATGTACATATCTGTGTAGTCTGCGGGTCTATGGAAACTCCCTAAAAACCGTGCATACAAAAGGGAATTACTACAAAATTAGTGACAGTTATGGAATATCCCCAAAAAGGGAATTCTAATCTGACCACCATTTAGTGTGATTATTATATTCATTTTTTACATCATTTAATAGTTGCATGGGAAGCAGTTTTGAAAGATTGTTGTCTGCTTTAAGGGGCAACACTCCTCTTGAGATATTACAGATTGGAAAATTCTTAAAAGATGTTTATCGGAGTGTTTATAAACAGTCGGGTCGGCAAGTCACAGCATATAACTCATGTAAGTATTTACGTTATGTAGTAATTATAATAGCTAACTTATTTCAATTATGAATATTGTGCACATTTTACTCTTAAACATGTGAAGCCATCATTATTCCCTAATAAGCGTTAAACTAAAGGGAAACTAAAGGGTAAAGCGTAATTTCCATAGGAATTTTTGGCTTTTGCTATTCCAAGCATCACATTCCTCATATCAACATTTTGAGTATTCTGCCCCCATAGGTATTTGAGTGAATTTCAATTTGTGAATTTAATTTGAATGCAGTCATTTGTGTTTTTGGACTATGACACAATCGTATCGTTATTTGGGGGCTTCACTGTGCGCAGACTAAAGCTTGTAAAGCGAAAACAGCTTTCGGTAGCTTTCAAGGTTAAACATGTTTTACACCCAGCAAGAAATGTTGGCAATCACCACTTGATCGAATACGTTACAAACTTGTTATTTACACTTGGCTAATATTTGTATTTGTAAGTACGTATAATTAATTATATTATTTATTTTTCACAGCTTAAGCAATTTCGAATTTCGCTGGGTGTATAAAACATTTGATAACCAAAAGCTTTTTCTCTCTCGCGCAACGGAGCTAGCCGCTTGGCAGGTGCCTCTCAATTTCTCGCCTAGTCTCTCGCAGTTCGGTTCGTCGTTTGTTTTTTTCCCCGATATTTTCGATCGCCTGATTGACACCATCCAATCTCCCGGCCACCACGATGAACTCCCGCATTCCACTGGGCATCCGGCAGTGCAACAGGCTGCTGGCCACACCCATCTACTATGCCAATGAAGCGTCCACTCTGGCCCGGCTCTTCTCAACATCGCGGCTGCATTACAAGAGACACGAGTAAGTTCAGTTCCCACTCCACCGACCTGTGGCTCACCTGCAATCGTAAGACTTTTTTGTGATTTCTCGGAAGTCACAAACTTTTGCTACTCTTGGACTTGATAGATATGTAGTCAAGCAAGTCCAATCAGTATGATTAAAGCGTATCAAGTGAAGTTATCACGTAAGCTGGTACGAAAACTGCCAGCAAATTTATCCTGCATTAATTAGCATATCTAATTGATGACGATAACGAATAGATAATGTGCCTAAGCACTGGATCGATAAAATATTAAAACTTTTGGCTGGTGTTTCATCATCACGATTCGGAGTAGGCGTGGAGTACAATGGGACCCTAAGGAGTTTGTACAGCACCGTCATGAAGGGAGATCCTTGGGGGCTAGAGACACGCAATCCAATATGTTATATTTACTTTTTGTATCCATTATTTTCAGGTGCAAAGTTTTGGTTGTGGGCGGCGGAAGTGGCGGCTGTGCCATGGCCGCCAAGCTGTCATCGCATCTGGGCAAGGATAAGGTGATCGTCCTGGAGCCGGAAGATGTGCGTAAGAATGGTAACCATCAAAGAGTTACTCCGCAACTAATTATTTTCCTCTGGTTCATGCAGAAACACTATTATCAGCCGATGTTCACGCTGATTGGAGGCGGTATGAAGCGCCTGGAGCATTCCTACAAGACCATGGCGGAGGTACTTCCGAAGAAAGCAAAGTGGCTGAAAGAGAAGGCGATGGAATTTGAACCGGACAACAATACGGTCTGCACCTCCGGGGGCGACACAATCAAATACGATTTCCTGCTCATTGCCACTGGTCTGCAATTGAAGTACGAGAAGGTAAGGTTCACCATCCGAAATAAAAGCTGATCATTGTGAGTTCTTTTATTAAATAGATTCCCGGATTAGCGGAGGCCCTGGAGGTACCGAATGGCAAGGTCTGCTCCATCTACTCCCCAAAGTATGTGGAGGGCGTCTACGATTTGCTGCGCAGAACAAATGAAGGAAACTTGATCTTCACCTTCCCCGCATCCCCAGTCAAATGCCCTGGTGCCCCACAGAAGATTGTCTACATAGTCGATCACTATTTGCGCAAGGTAAGCAGCGATGAATCCCCTGTTCCTAATCAACATTTTTCGTTTAGCTGGGGAAACGCGATAAGGTGAAAATCACGTATAACACAGCTCTGCCAGTGCTCTTTGGCGTTAAACACTATGCCGATGCCCTGTGGCCCATTTGCAAGAAGCGGAACATTACGGTCAACACTCGTCGAAATCTTGTGGAGGTTCGGCATGCCGAGGACATTGCTGTGTTCGAGGACCTCGACCATCCTGGTCAGCTCTTCGAGGAGAAGGTAAGAATATATGAAAGGCCATACCGAAGGGCAGTCAGTGACATTTTCTATCCGGACAGTACTCCCTGCTGCATGCCGTGCCACCAATGAGCGCTCCCGACGAGCTGACCAAATGCCGGAAGCTGGTGAACGAGGCGGGATTCGTGGACGTGAATAACTCGACGCTGCAACATGTAAGATACAGCAACGTATTCGCCATAGGGGACTCATCTGGCTCACCGAACTCAAAGACTGCCGCAGCTGCAGGTATGATTAGATTCAAATCAATGGATTAATCAAGGCTTTAGCAGGCCGTCGTTCGTCGCCCTCGCAACCGAATTAGAATATTGAAATTTATTTCCATTTACAGCTGCTCAGTCGCCAGTTGTCTATCGGAATATGATTGCAGCGATGGAGGGCAGATCTCTGACGGACGTCTACGATGGCTATGCCTCGTGCCCGCTGGTGACTGGCTACAGCACCTGCATTCTGGCGGAGTTCGATTACAATCTGCAGCCCCTAGAGACGTTTCCAGTGGCCCAGAACAAGGAGCGTTATTCGATGTTCATCATGAAGAAGGACTTCATGCCATTGCTTTATTGGAAGCTCATGCTCACGGGCCATTGGAATGGGCCGGGATTGATGAGAAAGCTTTTGGGTGTTTTTAAGCCAAGTAAAAAGTAATTGGAACTTATCAAAATCGAAATAATTGTATGTCAAAGAAAACTGTTCAGTGTATGAGTTATGTGGTGTAAATTCAAATATTATATAGGCGCCAACAATATCAGTCACCATCACCGTCAATCGGTGCTTTGCCGCCCTGGCATAAAACAAAAATAAAGCCCTGGAAAAATACTTATATGGCTTCGATAATCGATAATCGATTTTGTCTTGACTTCCTACGGAGACGTGTGAATTTGAGATTCTGTTTGATCTTACTGGCTAGCCAGAACTCTTAAGACTGAAAAAGTAATATTTTCCAAAAGATTCATGATTTTTCTAGAATGGTGGCTACTTTTGAGGACCCTTTTTTTATTGAATTTTGTAGGAAATAAGGGTTAAACAAAATTGGCCAATGCATAAAAGTTCAGTATGAAAGGAGTGCAATGCGAAGGTATATTTCGGTATATTTTTCAGGGTCGTGCGGTATATTTGATCGATAAGTCCGCGGTCACACTGCATCCATTATGGGCTTTATAAACAATAATTTGCTAAATAATTTGTTTTGAGGCACCCCTGCAGATATAATTAAAGCGCTTGCTGGTCGCATGCTTGCTACGAGAGAGGTTTTTACCCAGTGCATTGTTGTAACCAAGGACGGGGGACCAGAATAAGACAGACATTTTCTCCCAGCCTCACGAGCGCCTGGAAAGACGCCGAAAATTCCGCAATACCGCGACAAACTAACAGAGTCTTCCGCAAAATAAAATGAAATGGGTAAGCTTGAAATGAAAAAACATATTCCAATTGTGTAGTCCTCAATTCGATTGGTGGGATCTGCTTGGGTAGCCTTGAAATACAGTGCAAACTGCAATTGCATTGTCCGCATCTTCCATGCCCCAGTATGTATGTTGTGTGAGTTCTGTCTGTGTGTGTGTGTGACTGCGCCGTGTATGGCGCTCTAACTGTGATTTTGCCAAACGCGGGAAAATCAATAGCATCCCGATGCACTTTTCGTTCAATCAAAGAAGCAGTTGCGAACAACAAATTGACTTTTCCTACCACCACCACCCTTTTACACTCATTCACCATCTGTCTAGAGAGGGCGCATATCAAATCCCATCGCTTCATTGTGCAGCCTTGAAGTCAACGTTTCTCAACGTTCTGTTGCAGGCATTGTTGCACTGAGGTCAATTATTATATATTAACACGTTATATCAAAAGAGAGAGCTTGTTTCTTGAGACTTGAGCTTAGGGCAGGTCGAAGAGGTGGCCGAGGCAACTCCGCAGCACGAGCGACAGGCAACGACCGGCGACGATGTAAGTAGCGTCCGTTGTTAACCAATCCTATCAAAAGTAACCACTCCTCCCAGCAAGTATCCAAAATCCTATTCCTTTGCGTGCCTTATTTGTTATCGTTTGTTTTTATTAATACTTCTGTAGCAGAGAGACGAGACAAAATTGCATCACCCTTTTAACAGCAGAATTGGCAAAAACTTCCAATTACACACCTTTGTTTAGTTCCGCTAAAGCGCTTAACCAATTGGTCGGCTATTAATGTTTAGTTGCTAATCCCCAACACACCACACAAAATACACAAAAACAAAGGACCCTGCCTGGCACATGGTTTGATGCTCATATTTATGAATTAAACTGAACTGTCGAAATGTATTCACATTATTACAAAAGCTATCAATATATAATTATAAAATGGAACCTTTGTGCCGTACGTGCTGAAGGTTATGTGCCAGGGCTCCAGCACCCACACTCAAACCACAAAGTACACATAGAAACAGATAAATAAATTTATTTTGCCACTTCTAACGCTCTGCCTCAATCAATCCACAGACAATGCCCTCGGCCATTAGCGGCGCTCCGCACGGCCAAGTGCACGTACCCAGCAACGAGGAGTGCGGCATCCGCGACGTGTGGAAGCATAACCTGGAGGAGGAGTTCCGCACCATACGCAAGGTAGTGCAGAAATATCATTATGTGGCCATGGACACAGAGTTTCCCGGCGTGGTGGCACGGCCTGTTGGTGAGTTTCGATCCACTGCCGACTATCACTATCAGCTGCTGCGCTGCAATGTGGATCTGCTGAGGATCATTCAGCTGGGTCTCACCTTTATGGACGATGACGGCAAGACGCCTCCAGGATACTCCACATGGCAGTTCAATTTCAAGTTCAATCTAAGGTGAGCTAATAGTTTAATGATATCAATAACATTCTGTTGCTAATTCGGCTTATGCTGTTGCCCTTAGCGAGGATATGTATGCACAGGACTCGATTGACTTGCTGCAAAATTCTGGAATACAATTCAAGAAGCACGAGGAGGACGGCATAGATCCAATTGAATTTGCCGAGCTGCTCATGAGCTCGGGCATTGTGCTGGTAGACAACATCAAATGGCTATGCTTTCACTCTGGCTACGATTTCGGCTACCTGCTCAAGCTGCTTACCGACCAGAATCTGCCCTGCGACGAGTCTGACTTCTTCGAGCTGCTGCACATCTACTTCCCCAACATCTTTGACATCAAATATCTGATGAAGTCGTGCAAGAATCTGAAGGGAGGCCTCCAGGAAGTGGCCGATCAGCTGGAGCTGCGCCGAGTCGGCCCACAACATCAGGCTGGCTCTGATGCCCTGCTCACTGGCATGGCATTCTTCAAAATGCGTGAGGTACAGCACATAAATGCACATAATTTGCACATTGTCCCCGAAGAGACTATTGTTCTGTTTTCCTATCTGCTTGAGAACACAATGCACTTAAAGCCAATCGTCAGTGCGATCGCTGTCTTTAGCAGTCTTTTAAACAACAACAACATACACAATAGTGCCAAAAGTGCCCCTGTCACTGTCAGTGATAATGGTGAAGGAAACTTCATCAACGAAGTTACTTTAACATCGTCACCAGCAGCTGGCAGTGACAGTGGCAATCTTCTTAATTCAAGCTCGTACTGTGTCACGCCACCCGCATCCCCAACCTTGGCTGGTGGTGGGCAGAATGACCTGTCGCTTGCTTTGTTTATTAGAGCCAGCTCGATCGAATAACTACGATTCCTAACCCCTGTGTGTTTCTGTTGCCTTGCCATTCAATCATCAACCAGTCCATCGATCACTACTAACTCGAATCATTATTTCAATCATTTGTTTGGCTTATGGTCTATGGATTCATAGCATTTAAAATCACTCTCATTTCCATAACTAAACTAGACTCTATTTATTATTTTTGTACATAACTACATAGATTTAAAAAACGCATCGGATGCTGCACCTAGAGTGCAAGTGCAAGTGCTTTTTGCCAGTGCCGAAGGGCATCTGAGCCACAATTGATTAATGGATTAATAAGCTTGAAGTGTTTACTTTTTTTTAGTTAGTTAGTTGCTAGTGTGTTGAACAATGAATGAATTAATAATCAATCTAATAGTAAGTGTTTTTTAGTTAGTTTAAACTGTTTAAGGTCATGTGAAACATGTCTGTTAATTTTAAAGATTACGAAAAACGAAAAGTGAAGTTAAGAGAAAACGTTCTATGTTTTTGAATGGAAAATTAAATGAATTGAAATTAGTTTTCTTTTTCAATTTTATTTATAATTTCTGGTGTGTGGGTCCTCAATACATCTCTAACTATAAAGTACAGTTTTGATTAACTTTTGCATTCTATTTTCATAGCGCATTTTGGCTTTGCTTCTCTTATATTCTAATATTTCTTATGGATTTTGGATGAATATTTTAAGATTACTTTATGAAAATAATTATTAATTGTATTTGAAGTTATATTTTAGGGCACTTTACCCTTTTCGTGTATTATTCAATTGTCTTAGTTAAATGCCGTCCCCTTTTCTTATTTCATAAGTTTACTATATGTTTTATTGTTTGCTTTTGTAAGTTGTATTCGTTAATTTCATTCCATCTCATCTCATATCTTGTGATTTTAAGATCTATTCCGGCGTAAATTTTGAAAAAATGTATTCTTTGTATACTAAGTACGGCGTTGGCTTTAGCAGCCCCTAAACAATAACCAAAAGACTGCAGAATTCAAAAAATATAATAAGACAAAAACCTTCAAGACTTTAAAATACTAAAACAAGAACTAATCAGATCGGTAAACGGTATGTAACATATCATATATTCAATTCCAATTCTAAAAACCCTTTAAAAAACTATATTTCTCTGACGGTAGATTGTTGTTTACTTCAGTATATTATTTGTGCACTTTATTATGCTTGCTTGCCCTATCTGCTATTTTGTCTTTGTTTGTAGAAGTGTGTCTAATCGTATTCCCTTGTTAACCTTCTTGCAGATGTTCTTTGAGGATAATATCGACCATGCCAAGTATTCGGGACATCTGTACGGCCTGGGCACCTCGTTCATCGTGAACGGCAACAACTTCCACGAGAGCAATGGCGAGACGAGCAGCGCCTCATGATTTATACTGATGGGCAATGCTGTTGTGCCTGATAAAAAGCCTGTCGAACCAGAAGAAGCCGGAGAAGATGCCGCACCGAAATCACCACCACTCAAAGACACTCGGACAGCCGATCCCACTTTAACAGCACAGCAATAATCACCGCCCCAAACAAAAGTAACAACAGACCATTTAGAAAAACTGTTTTTTCACTTTCCATTTATAATATTCCCGTTCCCCGTTAAATTCAATTCTTCATTCAATAACAACCACTGGCATAGAGTAATTGTAAGTCGAAAAGGGAAAATGAAAAGAATCAATTTCAATTTCTGCATGTATAATTGTGTTACGAATACAAAAATAAGATACCTAAGCTAATATTGTAAGCCAAAAGGCAACATTTTTAAATTAATATAATGCAAAGCGTTTTTTATTGTGGGTTCTTGTATGAGCTCATATCTAATGTGTACATTTTCAAACCTCTACAATCCTCTTTAGAATTTTGAAAATGGTGCTCCGATAGGCTCCTCTTATCGCAATTAAATATCGATATTTTTTCATCCGTTGGTAATTTTTACTAGATTAGATAGAACTATTAACACGAATATTAGAAAACTTAAAGTGCAGTTGAGTTGAAAGTGAAAAGTTAAAATCACCGTGTGCATATTTGGCAGCAGAATATAATTCAGATGTTAATTTAAGTGTCGAGCTTTATTGAGCTAAGATCTTTTTTTCATTTAGTATATTTAAAAAATGCGATGGAATATTTTTGAGGGTTAGGCGGTATTTCTTTTTTATATGTCTGCGGTCATACTGATACCGAGGCAGTGGTCAGGTGACTTTTTGTTTTAAAATTAATTTGGTAAACATTCCAACAAAACAAAGTCGTGGAAACTAGCCACTCTTGTGGATAATTGATTGTTAAATTGGATAAAATTATAGTTTTAGCCCGGAAATTCCTAACTAGCTAGTAATATAAAATAGAACATCAAAATCGAGGAAAATGGTTTAAGATGTACGGTATATTTACAGTATATTCTGAAAATACAAGGGTATATTTCGGTGTATTTCCGAGGGTGTGTCGGTATATTTTATCAATAATTCCGCGGTCACACTGGCGGCGGTGTCGAAAAAAAACCTAAAATTAAAAACAAAATCTTAATTCTTAAGTGCAACGTGAGTTTTTTTTACGTGCAGCATTACCATAGCCACTGCGTTCATTCGTTCGCGTGCATTTGGGTTCGGATAAATGAGAGAAAACACGCTGAGATGTAGATGTCCACTGAGCGGCCGCAACAGCAGCAATAACAAAAGCAAGAGTGAAATTTCTGCAAAGAGAAAAGCGCGACTAGCTAGTCGAACGCAAGCGCCATACCATGGAGAACTTGAAAATAAGTGATAAGTTGTTCGAGGATGTGATATATTTCGTGCTTGGAAACCTGGATGAAGAGGTAAATAATTCACGTTGCTGTACTGCATTCGCATCGAGTGCATTCGAGCGCGTATGTGTTTTTCTGTGTGTGTTTAGTAGTAGTAGTGTCTGTTGGCACCCGGTTCTGGCAAATATTCACAGGGTGCCTCGTGTACAACCCAGGAAATGCGCGCCATAAATTTTGCATATGTGTGTGTGTGTTTGTGAATCGAATAGAACTGATTTTATTTTGATTTTGCATTTGCAGATTGAAAGATTCCTGAAAAGTGGCGGGGCGCAGTCGAAACTTTTTCTCTCGGACAAGATCACGCATCTGATATGTGCCACCAACTACTCGGAGGAGGAGTTGTCGATGAACCTGGAGCTATACAATGTGATTCCCGTCACCGAGCAATGGATACTGCACAGTGCAAAGCTGGGCCGCATGGCCTCCACGCGTGCCTTCGACCCGAGTCCACATCAGCTGCGTCTCATGCGAGGCATCCGAGCGGCCATCACAAATGTGGTGGCCGGCGATCGAAAGCGCCTCTACGCTATGCTCACATACCACGGCGCCGTTGTCACCCACAGCTTCGGGGCCACCAACACGCATCTGGTATGCGGGGCAGCCAACGGCGGTATCTACAACAAAGCGCTGGCGCTACCCAAGAATGCCATAATCATTGTGACACCAGACTGGGTGACGGACTGCCTAAAGTGCAAGAGCTGCCTGGCAACGGATCCGTATCATCCCAGGCTGCTGAAGCCCATTGAAAAGCAGCGGGCCCAGAAGCAACAGCAGCAACAGCACCAACAATTGCAGCACCAACAGTTGCAACAGCAGCAATTACAGCAGCAACAGCAACAGCAACAAATCCATCATCAGCAGCAGCAGTTGCAGCAGCAACAGCAGTCGTCCCCATCATCCTCCCTAACGGACATCTTGGGCTTCGGCGAGGACAGTGCAGCGGCGAAGAGCATAGCCAGCATAAAGTCTCAGCTACAGGCCTCGGCGGAACAAATCCAACATCAGCATCAGCAGTTACCTGTGTCGCCCGCCCAGCAACAAGTGGTCTTCGTGCGTCCCCAGCCACAGGTTCAGAGCCAGCAACAGCAACAACAAATGCAACATCAGCTACAGCAGCAGCAGCAAGGGGTTCCTCAGGTGCCTCCTCCACCGCATCCGCAACAGCCACAGCAATTGATAATACAACAGCAAAAGATAATCCCCGCCAATCTTCAGCAGCAGCAACAGAATAGCCAGCAGATCAAGAATATTCTGCAGCAGCAAAGGCAAATTAAGAACTCTCAGCAGCAGCAACAACAACAACATCAGATCCAAATGATCCAGCAACAACAGCAGCATATTCATCAAGAGCAGCAACAGGCGCCCAGACTTCCGACAACACCCACCACGGGCCGGCAGACACCACGCACCCCGACAACAACGCCGCCCGTGCAATCACCCCAGCAACACCAACAACAGATAGTCCAACAGCAGCAGCAAGTGATTCAACAACAGCAACAAGTGGTTCAGCAGCAGCAAATTGTTCAACAACAATCGGTGCCTGTTTCCCCCCAAATCCTACACCAACACTTGATGCGACAACAGCAGATATTGGGCCAGCAACAAATGCACTTTCAACAAATCATTCAGAGCGGGCAAGCACTCAGTGCCCAACAGCAGCAGCAACAGAGGCAGATTCAACAGCAACAGCAACAAATAATGCAGCAACTGCAACAATTGCAGATGCAAATTCAACAGCAGCAGCAGCAACAACAGCAGCAGCAGCAGCAAAATCTGCAACAACAGCAACAGTCCCCTCGGATGGTACAAAATCGGTCGCCGGTAATGCCACCAAATACGCCCTCGCCGTCGTTGCAACAGCAGCAACATCATGCCACCAGCAACATGCTGCCACCTCAGTCTCCGCGCCAGCTTCAATCGCCAGCCCCACAAATGACTCCACCGCCACCTCCTTCGCCTCAGAGTGCCCAGCAGCAACAGCTCTTGCGCCAGCAGCAGCAACAACAACAATTGCAACAGAGCCGTCAACAACATATGATGGGCTCTCCGCAGCAGCCTCAACCGCCATCGATGATGTCCCCGCAGCAGCAGCAGCAACAACAACAAATGCAGCCCTTCCAGCAGCCTGTTCACCAGCAACAGCGCATGCAGCTGCAGCAGCAACAACAATTGGCCCAACAACAACAACAACAGCAGCAGCAGCAGCAGAGTCCGCAGCACATCTCCGCCCCTCAGAGTCCGCAGATATCGCAGACACCGCCAATGCAAAGCAAACAACATCAGCATCCAGCAGTGGGAGGACAGCCGCAACACCAACAACAGCAATCGTTCTCCCAGCAGCCCATCGATCCCACAGATCCCGTTCAGGTGGCTCAAGTGCTTAGTCGCTCTGCGCTAAGTAGTAATCAGGATTCTCTGATCATGCGACAGCAGCAGTTGAAGCAACAACAGCAGCAGCAGCAAATGGCACCTCAGTCACAGCCGTCGCAGCCACAGCCACAACAACAACCCCAACATACGCCATCACCGAGACAATCGCCTTTGCAGCATCAACAGCCACAGCCAACAACACCCACGATACAGCAACAGCAAACGTCGCCGGTATGTGGACTTATATTAGATTTGTTGTTCGACATTTATCGACCCCATCCTTATTGTCATACCGCCATCTTATTTATATCAAGGATTAATTGTAATAAACGATTCTGCTTTCAGCCAATGCAACAGCATCCCCAACAACAACAGCAGCAGTCAATGCCACCGCAACAACCTGCACCTGGACAACAACAGCAACAGGTCATTACGCAACGACATGTCATCAATACATCCACTGCACAAGGTCAGCAAATCATACAGAGCCACATGATGAATCTTCAGCAGAAACAGCAGCAAATGTTGCATGTACAACAACAACAGCAAATAACACAGCAGCAGCTACAGCCGCAGCAACAACCTCAGCCGCAACAGCAGCTTCCAACGCAGCCTCAGCCGCAACAGCAACAAGTTCAGTTCACACAACAACAGCAGATTGCCCTCGGTGCAGGTGGACAAGTACGAATCATTCAGCAAACGATTCAGCGACCCCAGCAGCAGCAGCTGCAAATTCCCCAACAACAACAGCAAAAACAAATCCTTGGACAATTTCCTCAACAACAGCAGGTGTGTGCTTTATTTACTTTACCCATTATAACTTCCCAATCAAACTTCCTGTGCTTTCCGGCAGTCTATATATTGACGACAGTGGTCTGGTTTTGTTCTGGTCCAAAAAACGACTCCTATTGTCAAATTCTTGGCTGGTTTTCCGCTTTCCTCGATTCTCACAAAAACTGCTGGCCAAAATAAAATTATTCAACACTTAAAACAGAAGCCGATCAGATACACATGCGAAAAATATAAAAGAGAATGCCGAAGAACGCCATTACTCCGGCCCGGCTGGAGCTCCGAGAAAGCAAAACCAAAATATCCACATGTAGTGTGCATGACAAAACGAAGCACCGTTACTCCAGTTTCGCTGAAGAGGTATCGACTCGTCAGTCTTTGTTTTTTTGCCTCCACTTTAATTTCTTCGTCTGCGCTTTCGTACTTTTTGTTTTCTACTTCGCCTGTGTCTTCGTTGCTTTAATTCGGCATCGACTGAAGCACATGGTAAGGCCAGCAGAAGCAAATTCTATTTGGTCAGGATGTAAAATAATATAAAAATTAAAACATAATGAATTTAATTTCTTTAACCTACTTTTTCACATTTGCAGCCTCTTCAACAACAGCAAATGTCACAACAACAGCCGCCTCAGCAGGTCTTGGGACCGCAGCAGCCTCAGGCA